AAATATCCGACTTAATTCAAAAAAGTTTATTTAGTAGCATACTGTTGCAATCGCAACACCTTTTTTTTTTCGGGGGGGAGGGAAGGGCAGGGTATGAATTCGCGTAGGGAAAATTAAAAAAAAAATCAGAGTGTAAAAAAGGATTTTAATTTGTTATAACTTTTTGGATAATAAATTTTTACATGGCATGTGTTTTTCCTCTTAATATAAGTAAAACCCACAAAAGAAATGTGTTTGTAATTCTGCTGAAGTCATTACGGAAAATGCTTGCAATTTATTTACACAAATGGATTTATAACTATACAAGTATTAATAGATTTAGTATATTATGTAAAGCATATAATTGAATGCAAAGAACGTAAAAATGTACTTCCATATATTACTCTTATACAAAGCATATTTATAAAATTAGCTGAATGTGTTAAAGTTAAGCATTAGCTTCAAGGCATTAATTCAAAGCAAGAATTTTCTTTTCGTTGATTTTCGCCTGCTTGTACTTTCTTCACTAGGTACATCTCTTTTTAACATCCAGCAATAGTCTGCTATCATGTTTTTACTCTACTTTCCTTGGTATGTTATTTCCATGTCATTTATATCCTGATGAAATCCTTCACCTTGTTATTCACTGACTTTTCGTAGATTCTCTTGAAAATAATCTATGTGTGCATGTGAAAAAATGCAATTTAATACAAATGTTGTATCCGAACAATCTTAATTTTTCTAGCAGGTTTTCTAGAGTAATTTTGTAATCTGGAAGTTAACTGTTCCCTAAAAAATTTTCATTTACCTGGTTAAAACTCAACCATGCTTCTTTTTCACAATCATTCATCGTCTCTTCAAATTTGGAATCTAACATAAGTTTCCGAATTTGAGGTCCAGCAAAACGTTTAAGTTTAGCATCAGAAATAGAAGGAAATTTGCCACAAATGTACATAAATCTTTATCATTTTCTTTATTTAATGCTTTGACAAACTCTTTTATAGTACCTAATTTAATGTAAAGTGAGGGACGAAAATGTTTTTGGATTCAACTAGTGGTTTGTGAAGAATATTTTTACAACCAGGGGACAAACACTCTCGAGAAGGCCAATGTTTGTTTCCAGTGATTCTTCTTATCCCGACTATCCCAGTCGCATAGAAAACATGGAAACTTACTGTAACCAGATTGTTGTCCAAGTAACATTCCAATTACCTTCAAGTCACCACATAAAACCATTGATGTTTGTTATAATTCAGCTTGTCTAATAAAAACGCGATGTTTTCATAGGTTTCTTTCAAATGAACAGAGTGTACCACTGAAATCGATGCATATTGATTTCCATTATGAAGTAAAACTCCCCTCAAACTTCTTTTTGAGGAAATTATAAATAGTCTTTAGTCAGAAGAATTGTGATTAATACCAAAAAATGCATTATTGCATTGACATCGCTGCAATATGCAAGTAAGCCTTCTTCCGAAAAATATAGTACCAATTCTTTTTCACGATGTCTATAACATGAAAAGTGCGTTTGTGGTAGTTGTAAATTCTTAGCTTTAAGGCGTGAATCAAGAAGTTCAACACTATCCTTTGGCAAGTTTTAGCTCTTGTACTAAATCATTAAACTCACTTTGATTAAATAATATTGCCATAGTTTCATTTGTTTCAGGTATATACAGATCTTCCTCTTTTTCAATTACTTGCAAATATGAATAAGTTTCTATATAATTTATATTTTCTATATTAGCTTGAGGATGAGAAACATTATGAACTATAGGTCTTATTGCTGAAGGTAGGTTTGGATATACAGTACCTCCTTTATTTTTTACATTATAACCAGCAACATTTGTCACACAAAAATAAAAATCATCATAATGATTCTTTTGTTCTCTCCACACCAATTGAAATTGCAAAAGGCATTGAATTTTTCTTACTTTTACTCCAAAGGTGCAAAGCTTCAACACAAGTTCGACTCGTTTTATGCGGATACTACGAATTGTCTCGATCGCCTCATTTAATTCCAAAATATGCAAAGTATGCGTTTTTAACAAAATCTGTGACATTTTGCCTTTGTTTTACTGGTGCATAGTTTCTACAAATATAACAGAATATATCGGCATCATTCACACATTATTTGCGGGAAGCCATACTTCATTAAATGCTAATTAAAAGCACTGAAAATAACTACTTAAAACTTAGCAAACGATTAATTTAAGGCTAAGAAAAAAAATTACAATTTAAAAGAGTTACATGATTAAACTATTCCAAATAAATTCCCACCGTCTATTAGAAAGGAAATTAACCGCAAATGTATATTTTCCACATAAATCATTCAATAAATAAAAGAAAACCTTACGTGATAGGGAAAAATATTTATATTTCTGAAATCAGCATCAAAAATATTTCTAGATACACTCCTCGGCATTGAAAATGCAACAAAGAAGGAGTGGCCAGAAAGTGATGAAATTTGGAAAAAAGACAGTCAGAAAGCAGCAATGAGTGATCTTTATTTCAAAATGATAGTCAGAACACAGAACGAGAACGGCGTCCGCTCAGTAGGATGTAGGACCACCGCGGACAGCGATGCACGAAGAAACACGTCTAGGCATAGAGTCAATAAGAGTGCGGATGGTGTCCTGAGGGATGGTTCTCCATTCCCTTTCAACCATTTGCCACAGTTCGTCTTCTGAACGAGGCAGGGGCAGAGTCTGCAAACGGCGTCCAATCACATCCCACACATGTTCGATTGGTGACAGGTCAGGAGAGTACGGTGGCCAGGGAAGCACCTGTATACCTTGCAGAGCATGTTGGCAGATGCAAGCACTGTGTAGTCGGGAGTTATCCTGCTGAAAAATTGCATTAGGCAGCCCTGGAAGGTAGCGGATTGCCACCGGCCGCAGTACATTATCCAAGTATCGTCGGGCAGTCATAGTGCCCTGAATACGAAGTAGAGGTGACCTGGAATCGTAGGCAATAGCGTCCTAAACCATTATGCCACGTTGTCGCGCGGTGGGGCGTTCCATAGTTACTGCTGGATTAGATCTGTCTCCACGTCGACGCCACACACGTATGCGGCGACTGTCACTGGATAAACAGAAGCGTGACTCATGTGACAACACGACGTTTCGCCATTCTGTCATCCACATCACTGCAGTCCGGCACCATTCTAAACGTTGGCGTCTGTGCTGTGGGGTCAATGGCAGTCTTCTTAACGGACGCCGTGTGTGCAGGTCACGTTCAACCAATCGACGGGAAATGATTCTGGTCGACATGGGAACATCCAGGGTATGTTGCACATGCTGCAAAATCGCGGTACAAGTGACTTGCGGGACCGCCACAGCTGGTCGGGAGATGCGTCGATCCACGCATGCTGACGTCACTCTGGCTACACCTGCACCCCTCCTTCTTCCTCGTTTCCTTGTTCCAACCATGTTCGCCATAGCCGATGCACCGTGCTCGCATCCATGTGGGTATCAGCTGCGATCTGACGTAAGGACCAACACGCCCTTCTCAGTCCGATCACCATACCCCTCGTAAAATCGTCTGTCTGCTGGAAGTGCCTTCGCTGACGGCGGCCTGGCATTCTTCCCTATTAACTTATCCTCCAGGACAAAAACCAACTTTCTTCGATAATTCGTCTGGCAGAAATAACGACACGAATATTGCCCATTCTGCATGTTCCTTCCCTTATATCTTACTTCACGTGCGTCGGAGAGCTGCGCATTTCATATCATTCGCATAACTCAGTGACGTGCGTCTACTCTAAAATTTGCATACATTTCTGACCACTCCTTCTTGGTGTTGCATTTTCAATATCGAGCAGTGTACAATGCAAAATATAGAAATATCAAAAAACATGCTGACCAGTGTTATTTAAAAAAAAAATCGCCTGCTACTTGAAAACTGGGAAAGAAATCTTTTGAGAAACGGTCCTCATAGAAAAATAAAAATTTGCATTAAATTACTGTTGAAGAAATTGTACTGCAGTCTTAAATTAAAATTTAATTCTAAAATTTAAACAAAATTAAACAAGTATAAAATATAGATATTCTTGAAGTCATTGTCACCGTTTCTGTCGTAAATGTTTGAGCTATAGTAAAACATTTTAATTTAATGGAAAATATGATGTATACGACTTATATTGTGAAAAATTATATTATGGTGCACTTTTTTTAATTGTGTGCGCATGTTTAGGAATATTCACTGGAATCATGTACCAATTTGGTTTAAAAGTCCCGTATCTTGTTGGGTCTGCACGATCAGAAATTTCAGTGCACATGCTTGTACTGAATAGTTTGGCTTTTTTAAAGTTACATTAATTGAATATGGCAAAGCTCACCAAGGTTATCGCCTTAGTTGAGCGATGTCTTTGTGGAAAATTTTCTGAGGACGACTGGCTCATATTTACGTTACACATGGAAAAACCATGAAAACCAACCATGCAGCCAGGCTGTTCGCTTTGGATCAAAGGTGAGTTGAATTATTATTCAGTAGCCTTAATGATTCAGCCATTGGTGGGGGATATAGCTTTTTTAAGATTACTTGATAACCAAGTAATTTTTCATATGTATGCGGACTTTATGTGAAATTTAACCATCTCGTGCAGCATATTTGATGTTCTTGGTTAATATTTAAATAGTAAAGTAATGAATATTAGTATCAGAAATTAGAAAAAAATATTAAAAATTTATTATTATTAAAAATTTGAAAAGCACATTTAAAAAATTTGAAAAGCACATTTAAAATTTGAAAAGCAAATTTGTATTAAAAATTTGAAAAGCACATAACATTATAATTATATTTATATATGCTGTTTCCTCCTCCCCAATAGATTTTCTTAATTTGCATTGTTGAAAATTTCATGTTTAATTTTGTTTATATGTACTTCAAGTTTACAAAAACAAGTACAATAATCATTTTATTTTTTATTTTTATTTATTTATTTATTTAATTGTTTATTTATTTTATTATTTATTATTTATTTTATTTTTATTTATTTTTATTTATTTATTTATTTTGCATAGGTAATCAAATAGCTGGACAGCCGCATGCCTTTAGATTTTTCATTTGACACTTTTAGGTAAGTTTCAGTGCACTGATTACTCACCAAGGAATAAATTCTGCATTCTAGAAATTTATCTACCTTAATATAACAAATTATTTGAAAAATCTTTATTTTAAATATTTATTTGTTTATCGTGTTAGGGCATTTGCTCATATGCATTATAAAAACTTCAGTACAATATGCTAGTTAGAATTCCGAAAAACGTTTTCACATATCCGATAAGTTGGTTACCACAAAGACTGGCCACGTAGTTTGGTATATTTTATTTATGAAATAATTTTTGATTTGTCAGCTTGATGCCAGTGACATAAATATCATAAAATTATAGCTGTATTACACAAATCAACAATAATAGTAGTTTAAAATGGAGAGGAAAAGCTCTTAGATACATTGTGAAGGGCCGATCGCATTCAAATTCAATTGGCACAGTTTCATACATCAAATAGGGAAGGCGGGAAACGAGAAGCTCAGTTATAGACTAAGTAGCACAGAAGCAGCCTGCCGTAATCTTACTAAGGGAGCCTACGTTCGAATTCGAATTAAAACCTACATTTTATGGAATTATTAATAGAATTTTAATACCAAGTAAAGACGAAAATGAAGTTGTGACTAATGAAGTGACTAATGAAAGAATAGAATGAATGACTTGTGACTAATATATTTCTTTCGTTCTGTCTATCTCATGTGCAAAAATATTATTCACAATTACTTTATATTTCAAAATCGTATTTTTATTTAATAACAATTGTGATAATCATGTAATGGTGATCATAATATAGTACAAATGGTAAAAGTGCATGAAAATAGTTAACGTAAATGTAATCGTAGTAACGTAAATTTCTGTTATAATGTATTTATAAAATAAATTGATTAACTGCGTTCCCTTCGTGTTGAAGCAATTTTGACTACTAGAAATTTATTTAACATTCGGACATTCGGGTATTACATGTGACTTAAAACTGTGACTTTTTTTTTATTTTTTATTTTTTTATTTTATTTTTTTGGCAAAGCCCAGGCGAAACAGTATTATGTGCGGTTGTATCTACCCGCAGGAGACACTACTGTGCTGTTAATTTTTTTTTTTAAAAAGGGGGGGTTGAGAAGGAATACTAGAATCATTCCGTTTCTGTTTGTAATTGGGAGCATTTCTGAGAAAATTTTAAAAGTTTATTATAATGAAGATGACAGCCAAGCAAGGTAAATTGATTTAAGTTACAAGAAAATTTAATTCCCTTCGATGACTTTTAATACGTTCATAATACTTACTATGGAACTTTTAGCATTAATTACCTAAATTTCTACTGTTATTAAATTATTGTATTGTACCACTAATAATTTTATATCCGACAGCTATTAATCACAAGCTGTAAAAGATTTGATTAAAATACACACTTAGACAGACCAAAAAAAAAAAAAAAAAAAAAAAAAAAAAAGACGCACCAAGAAGGAGTTATCCGAATGAGACGAAAATTGGTAGAAGTGATGTACATGAACAGAAAGACAAATTATTACAATTTGAGAAAAATTGGATGATGTATTCAAGTGATAAAGTGAAAAAAAAGTCAGTAACGCTCTGCCTCTGGATCTTATGCAAGCAGTTATTCGGCTTGGCATCGACTGATAGAGGTTCCGGATATCCTTTTAAAGGGATATCGTGCCAAATTCTGTCCAAATGGCGTGTTAGATCGTCAACATCCCTAGCTGGTTGGAGAGCTCTGCCCATAATGCTCCAAACGTGCTCAATACAGAGAGATCCGGCGATCTTGCTGGCCAAGGTAATGTTCGGCAAGCACTAAGGCAAGCAGTAGAAACATGTGCAGCGTGGGGGCGGACATTATCTTGCTGAAATGTAAGCCCAGGGTGGCGTGACATGAAGGGCAACACAACGGGCCTTAGAATTTCGTCGACGTACCGCTGTGCTGTAAGGTTGCGACGGATGACAATCAAATGGGTCCTACTATGAAATGAAATGGCACCCCAAACCATCACTCCTGGTTGTCGGCCTGTCTGCCGGAAGACAGTCAGGTTGGTATCACACCGCTGTCCGTTACGTCTCCAGACTTCGCCGTCGCTGGTCATCGGGGCTCAGTTCAAAGTGGGACTCATCACTGAAGACTATTCTACTCCAGTCAGTGACATTCCAGTGCGAATGAGCCCGATACCACTGCAAATGGGCTTGACGTTGTACAGAGGTCACGGCGCAAGGGGCGCCGTGACCTTAGCCTCCTTTCTGTGAGCCGTCTGTGAATGGTCCTTGCGGTCATTGAAGCACTAATTGCACGTACAATCGATGATAATGATGCATCTGGGGCTGTGAGTGTCGCTCTGACGATTGCTCGGTCTTCACGTTCTGTCGTTTCTCTAGGCTACCGCTTTCTTCTTGACGCTGTGTGCGGCCATGGTTCACCCATTCCTGCCAACATTGTCTAATAGTGGCATCGCTCCTGCTCAAATGTCGAATTATTCGCCGATAAGATCAACCGGCTTGAGTCCAACTACACGGCCTCTCTCAAATTCTGACATCTGCGCATATTGTTCGCGCACCTGTATGCCAGGCATAGTTACTGTCTACCAGAGTACATGGAATGAAATTCGTGAAGAATTTGACCTGGAATCGTAATTTCTCCTCTTAAATATCCTACCAGTTGCGCAGATCAAATGGTCCGTACAACCGTTCATTCATTGGCAGCCAAAATGTAAAATTTTGCATTTTCCGTCGAAACCTGTATGCATATGAATTTGTGTCCAATTTGCTTTATATCTTCTCGGTGCGTCGTGGTGCATCCTTTTTTTTTTTTTTTTTTTCTAAGTGTGTATGTTAAGTAAGGTTTTAAAATACGTTATGGGGGTAAGGAAACGTTTAACTTCCCCAAAACAATATATTTAATCAGGTTTTAGCTTAGCACCTGAAAACTGTAAGCCTAAACAACTAAGCATTTTAATGAGAAGAAATATATGCTCACGATACGAAAACTGTAACTAAAAAACAAAAACATTTTTTTTTCGCCACAAAGAGAACCATTTACTGATGTTTACAGAAATAGGAATTGCAATATTCGAAGCTGAGTGGAATGCGATTTGCTGAAATACATACCAAGGAAAAATTTAACAAATACTTCGCTTCTCTTGGTTTATAAATATAAATACTCAGTGTTGTCATCTGATAAAACTGAATTTTTACAGTTAAATGAAATTAAAACTGAACTAAAAAAGTACAGCAGTTTTCGAAGCTGAAACGTTTATTTCTGTATTTCCTATCTGAGTATAAACGCCAGTTAATTAACTGATTTTACCAAAGGATGCAAGGGCTGTGTGCCATAGGAAGAAAGCTCTCATAGAGAACTTATGAAGGGAAACTGACTCATAACCACGTCATACACGGAGAAAACTACGAAAGTGCTATGTAATCAGCCCGTTCGTTGAGATATGAGCTCGGAATGAGGTACCCATTATACCAGCAGTCTTATCCTCTGAATTGGCGGCGTTTCTTTTTAACACAGAAAGATACAATAGAAAAGTATCAAACTATTTTCTCTTTAATAAAGTACTGTTTAAAGGGAGTTTCAGTATGATGTAGTGATTCGCTCATATTTAAATTTTCCCTATCATTTCTGTATTCATAATTATTATAAATTTTATCGTCATACTTGCTCCGCTCTTGTTTCAAATATCGATGTGGAACCTTTCGTATGAGAAATATTAAAATGGTTCGCATATCTTAAGAGTATTATTTAGAAAGATGAACTTGTCCCATGTTCATAAATGTTGAAATAACGCTTCTCTTGCGATTCTTTTAATGGTACTCGTTAAACTATAAAATTGTAAATATGTTTCTGCAATAACTTGGTTACGTGTTTCAAAATAAACATTTCCACTTTTTTTATTTTTATGTTATTCTTCATGTACAACATAAATCTGAGCAAGTTTTCTTTGGAAAATCCTACATGAAGACATTCTTTCCTTTAATAATTAAGGAGATAATCCTGGCATGATTTGCCGTACTGAGCAACTGGTATGAAAACTACAAAAAATTATGATTTGTGAAAATTCAATACAAATTATTTGAAATTTAACGCTTTATTATGATCAGCACATCAATGTGTTTTCATTTTGCAATTGTTTTTACGTGATGTTCAACAAAACAGAATATTTCAACGTGGTAGTGTATAAAATAAAACATATGAACCTAGCCATCAAACCTGGAGTTTTTATTAGTTTAGGGTACTTAGGTTAATTAATTACGTAATATTTAATAAATACAGCTATTCGCGTGTTTTAAAAACTGAAGCTTGAACTACTGTGAACCTAATTTAAAGATGGCGAATTTGTGAAAGCTTTCTGTAAAGCCATCCTATCCTAGGCCAAAAGAGCTTAGTTGTTTTGTCGTAAACCAACTAACATAAAGGAGGTTTTATTTAATTAATATTATTCTGGACTCATGTCTTTCTTTAAAAAAAAAAAAACAATAAGGATTTAATTGTTGGTAATTTTTTTATAAATCTATTGTATAATTTTTATTCTAAGTATGCTGTACTGAAAATAACTGATTTTACAAACTTTCTTTTCAATGCTCTGTCTAATCTTAGTAAGAAAAGCGTCCATCAGTTGCAGAAAGTGTAAGATCGCTGAGCAGTAGTATACTGCTAACCATTAAAAATGCTAGACCTTGGAGGATAATATTGACCTCCAATATTGAGGATAATATTGATTAATATGCTAGACCTTGGAGGATAAGTGGAATAATATTTATTTTATAAATGCATTATGATGGGGGGGGGAATAGGAAAATTTCACTTAGTTTTGGGCATACAGCAAGCGGAAATGAATAGCTCCAGCATCCACTTCTGGCAACAGTAGCAACTGTGGGCATTGAATCAAATGGACTTTGAAAGGCAGTTACTGATATTATCCTCCATATATCTTCAGTTCCTGCGCTAGAATTCATCTGGTAATCTATCGTACTGGTTGGCAGGCGTTGTTGTTCCACTTTCTCTGTCGCTGTTGACAAATGTTTCCATTTGGTGAAAGATCTGGAGAAGGCACTGACCAAGGCAGGAATCGGAACACCTTAGGAAATGAACCTCGCATTTAGGAAATGTAGGACTCCGTAGATAGCATGTGGTCTCAAACTGTTCTGTTGAATTAGTGAGACGATGTGGCCTCAAAAATACAGCACAGGTATGGGCATTAAAAACCTTGTTAACGCAACGGTAATTGGTCAAAGTATCAGATATGCGGACTGGAGGTGAACGTGTACTTATTAGCTCTTCGTACCATATTAAAGAAATGAACCAGTAGGGCAATAAAGAATGCAAGATTTCCACGTCCGATCTCTTCGCTGCCTGTATACTCGGATGTATTGCGGCAAGCAAAAGCGGGATTCGTCAGAGAGGACGACGTCACGCCATTGATATGTTCATGTGTGTCGCTGAATGCAGCATTGTTGGTGCCGATTTATGTTCTATAGCGGCAAGAGACTTGAAGCAGAGGTCGCCTTGCTGATAATCCGTGCCGTTACAGAGTTAATCAAGCCGTACGAGCGGATATTTGGCACTGTGCAAATCGCCGATTTCCTGACCTATGGTACGTGATGTGACTGCAGATTCCCTAATGGCGATACAGACTAGATGGACATTGACGAGTGGAGGCGGTTGAGATCCCATATGTCGCCCTGTATGGATCTTCTGGACCCATCGATCGCAAATTCTCATAAGTCATTGATCTTAACTGAAGCGCGAAGCAACTGCGTGGTAGGATAATCTGGTAATAATAAAACACCAGAAAATATATTTCATGAAACACACAAAATAAAAATAACGCTGTTATTTTGATGCTGTGATTAGAATTTTTTCGAGCGTGCTATTAGTAATATAAATGTGGATTAATCACTTACCCCCCCCCCAATTTTACCGACATCTTAAATGCCCATATTGGAGCTAGATATTTTGCACAAAAAGCACAAATTTAAGTGCACGTAAATTTTCCCATATTCTGAAACATAATTTTCAACCTATAGCTATATACTGAGTATTGACGCCCACACCAGTGGCCGAACGGTTAAGACCGCTGAATAATGGCAGTTTGACCTGGTTTGGGTTTAAACCCAGGCGAATGTACTGGCTGCATTGTTGGTTTTCCGTGCTTTTCTTCATGTGTAAGATGAAAATGTACCAGCTTCCTCAAAAAAAGTCTCCACGAAGACATCCCTCCTCATATGCAGATAGCCTTCGTGGCTTAGCCATATTCAAAAAAACTAAACTAACCTATTCAGTGTTGATATGCCTCTTCTGTAAATATTTTTATGTAAACAGAATTTAGTTTCCTAAAACAGATTAGGTTTTTTCCAATATGGCAGAGGACACGAGGGCTTGCTGGCTAAGGAAAGAGAACCAGGTAGCCCTCGTGGAGGAATTTCTAAGGGAAACTGATTCATATTCATGTTGAAGATGCGGAAAACCAACCATACGAAGCTTGTGACTGAGGAGATATTCCAACGACATTAACCGTTAGACCACTACTGCGGCTTCGTAAAACAGTAGTTAGGAGAAAATTATTAACTGGATGGAGAATCTCGCACAATATTGGACAGAATAGGAATAAAACGTCTAAATAAATTAGATCATTATATATTTGTATTCCTCAGATTACGAAGTTTACATTGCAAATGTTACACATCTATGATAATGTAAATAATACGTTAACGCTGTAATAATATAAATAATATGTTGATTAAAACTGTCCTTTTATAACTATAATAATCATACACTGAAGTACTGAAAGTTAAGAAAACTTATGTATTTTTAATAACGTGAATTATTCTGTTTCTTTTAGCAATGGAAGTAGGCCTTCTTTTGGGGTTGCTTCTTTCAGCTGCATCAGCCAGGAGACCAGGTAAATTTTTCATTGACTAAAGTATTTTCTATTCAAAACGAAGCAAAAAGCTGGCATTTCCCGGCTCTTTATGTTGTTATTAAGGCTCTTAAATTGTACTGTGTACTGTAATGATATACGATTTCTTCGCCATCTCTTGGCGAAAAAAACTATCATTCTTGCAGATTGATAATTTGAAGACTACAGGTCTTCATTAAACAGGATGTAACAAATAAATATTTGACACTTACCCCCTTAGAAAGAACGGCCTGTGCGTATACTATACTTTCAAAAACTTTATTTATGCATTACAGTCAGGAAGTGTGTTGATAAACATTCTGTCTTTTTTTTTTATAATATCGAAACCATTATAGGGCAATGTTTCTCAAGCTCTGGTTCTCGAAGCCTGCCCTTGTGGTCCTCTTAGATTTTTAAAAACGTCCTATTGCTGATGACATTTGGCTAAATAATCTGGCATTTCTTTCAATCGTATTCTCAGAATTAAATAAACTAATTCCCTGTCTACAAGGTCAGTGACTGTTCTCAGTACCCTTGCTAAAATAAAGAGGTTTGAGAGTAAACTTGTTTATGAGTTAGTTGTATTGTTAACCATGAATTAGTCTGTCCTACAGAGAAAATTTTCACCGTTTCCAACGTTAAAATCTTTTTTTCAGTAGAAAATAACATTATTGGGAAAGAATAACGCGATGACATATGTTCGCATATCGGAACTATGAGATCACAATTTGAAACCTATTTTCCAAGTGGCAAGCATAACGAATTTTCATACTCTCATGATCATTTCCATTGCGATTTTTAAAATAAAAAACTGTCATTGAATGAAAAGGAAGAACTAACTGAACTCTCTAATGACACAGACGTAAAATAAAACTCCATGCAGAAGGCATTGTTAATTTCTGGATTCCATTACCAATGACAATGGAATAGAATATAAACTGCACAACTGTGCTTTAATAATTATAATTCACTTTGCTTCTACATTTATGGATAATAAAAGATTTTAGTCTCCTACTCTAATAAAAACAAAGTACCAATATCCACTCGAATTATGTGCCGATCTTAGAGCTTAAGCTTACCCGCATGCGTCCAAACATAGAACAGCTGTGCAAGAATATCATCTGTGCAAGCTCATCAATTTCATAATGTGAGTACCAACATTTGTTTAATTTTTAGTTAATAGACTAAAGATTATCAAAACTCTAGTAGCCTTCAATTATTATAGACAAATATATTTTTTCTATTAACGTAATTAATACCAATATAAAATTAAATGAATTTCAATTAATTATATTTTTAAAATATAAATATACTGGTACTAACATATGCTGAGAAATTGCTTTCAAAGAGGATAAGAATAAGGTTGTAGAGACATTAGGTTATTTCGAAGCATTAGAGATGGAAAATGAGCAACGCTTTCGTCGGGACTCGAACCACGGCCTCTCGAGTACGCGTTGAGCGTGCTGACCACTACACCACGAAGACATGCTAAGAAGGCGGGAGAAATACCTTATATATTTCCCCTTTTAAAGGGCGACTGGTTTTTTTTTTAGGGTACCCATTCACCAAATCCTGGAGGTGAAAAATCATCATTTTCCACCATTTTTAGTTCGGGCGCAACTGTAGAGACATTAGTTCATTTCGAAGCAAGAGAAGTGTAAAATGAGTAGTGCCCTCGCCGTGACTCGGATCACGAACCTATTGGATATTTGTATTTAATAAGCTCACAAAAAATATATTAAAAATTGGTTGCCATTTTAATTAGCAAAATTTAAGTTATAATACTCTAATTCTAAAATTTAGTGTGATATTTGGGCCTGTTTAAGAGAGATCAATTTCGTTATGTCTGGTCTTAGTTCGATTAGTTTTAACCATAAATTAAGATCCAATTTTAATTGTGTTCTGTATTTATTTTTCAAATGTAACGAGGAAGAAAATCTTTGTTGGCACAAATAGGGTGTGCAAAAAGGCAATAAAAGTTTAATAGCCTTATTTGAAATGCTTTTAAATTCTTTTTTCCGCTTCAGCCAAAAGTTAACGAATGTGGTGTGATTTTTGAAATCTTCAGTTAGTGTTCGATCACAGGAAATTTCTATCAGCTGTTCTTTATCTTCACGAGATTTCTGAATTTAATAGTTAAAATTACTTTCCTTGCGTACCACCTATTTTTCTCTTGAGTACCACCAGTGGTAACGCGTACCACCGGTTGAGAATCGCTGGTCTATGCGTATAATTTGAGCAATGCTTGTAGATCCAAAATTGCCAACATCTAAAATAGGCGAAGCAGCCACTCAATCATTCCACTTCCTAAATTTAAAAAGTGTCACTATGGATATTTTTATTTAACTTTTTTACTATCCTAAGCAAAGAAAAAGGATTGCAAAATGCTACATTCTTGATTTCTTCATATCCTGATGTTCGGGTTGGAAATAACATGACTTTTTACGATTTCCTTTTCTGTGAAGTGTCAATACGAATCCTTAGAAATCCTTACCAAAAACCTTCAGTGAAACTTTTGTCTCTATCTAAGAGGTATTTCGTAGGATTTTATATTATCTTCTTTAACTATAAGGTATCTTTCTCATGAAATGGAGTAAATCGTCGTACTATTCGATGCTGACGATTAATTTCAGCAGCCACTATTGACATTTCCTGGATTAGAACATGTTTGTTCTGGACTGTATAGTTTATCAGAAAATGCTATCACTTAAGCCATTAAAGCTGTTTTTTCTTACTATTTGGAATGCTTTAAGAGAGTTTAGAAAATTTTAAATGTTTGTAATATTAGAATATACATTTAAAGTAAATAAAACGCAATTGTCTAATTAAAGGAACGTATTTTTTAATGTATTCACAAAAGCAGTAGCCAGTACCGCTGAATATTGATAATTTGACCAAGGTTCGATCCCAAGCAGATGGGTTAGTTGCGTGGTTGATTTTCCTCATGTTTAAAGTGAACTGCCTTAGAAAGCCATACACGAAGGCATTCTTCATCTTAGGCAGACAGCCCACGTATTCTTTGCCTTATTTCTTTCGTATTCCATTAATCTATCAGTAAGCAGTAAAATTATGATGGTTGCAGTCTGCTTCGTGATAAAGAATTAGAACTTATCAAATCGAATCATTCTTTTTTCTCCCTATCTCCTAATTACTTCATCGTTTCCCTTTCTTTTTCCTTTAGTATATACATATATCTAAACTAGCGTTCCATGAGGAGGAAATGAAATATTTTTGCTATTTTTGCTTACTTATTTACATTTTGAAGCAGCAACTGGCGCGAATGGAGTTAAAGAATCTTTGATTTGCTTTCTCCCATTTTCTGAATTTGTGAGTGTTTGTGCATATACACACACTCCGTGTCCTCTTAAGTCCTTACCCAGCCTTTATTTTAGGAACCTTTGGACATAGACCTACACTTGCAGTGTCAAAAGCGCTGAACACTGGTAGTTACTCCTGGGTTCAAATCCCGGCGAAGGTTTTCACGAAGGTATCTCTCCACATTAACAAACAACCCTCGAGCTGATTTGCTTTAAACAATTAACCAAACAACCATTCAATGATAAAAATGTTTCAAATGACGCAAAATGTTCATAACTTGGCAATTTTAAATTTAAAGTTTTTTTTTTTTTTTTTAAATTACGAAATCTAATTTTGCGTTCTCGGATCTCTACGGCCTTTTTGTATGTTCCCTTTGCCCTTAAAATAGGTAAATTTTATGCGCATTATAAAAAATAAAATACAAAATTTTTTACTGTAGTACCACAAAAATTACATTCAGCAGATTACATTCAGGCGTCTTACGTAATTTGAAGAGAAAATGTTTACATTTGTGGATAAGTAAAAATAAAATATAATTTTAGAAAAAGTATGATGTTAATAAATTAAGTGACGAACATTTCTAAGCAAATTTTTGTGAAAAGTTATTTAACAATATATTTTTACTTTTCTTCTTCCTTTTCTCTCCAAAACCGAGATCTTATTCACAGAAATCATAGAATTCATATTGTAGAAAAAACACCAGCGCCTTCAGTGTTGGCACATAGCCAACTAATATTTCTAAGATGTACAAATAAAAATATAGGCGCAGTGGCTAGCGCATCGCGCAGCAGCACCACAGGTCTGAGGTTCGATTCCCGGGCTGGACAAGGTCGACTCAGCCTTTCATCCCTTGATTTCCATCACTTGCGTCGATAAAATGAGTACCAAGTTAGTTTGGGGACTAAACGCTGGGGGTCCTGCGACAAGCTGACCACTTGTTCAGGGCATATGCTTACGCACCCCGCGGCCCACGGGTCAAGAAAGCAGATTTCGCGCACTGCAGGCCTTGGCCCATTAGTGCTGTTACGCCACTGAGTTTAGTTTTTTAGAAAATAAAAACATTCCTTATTTAATAAATTTGTATATTTGGAAAAGTATTAGATAGTTATAACAAAATTTCATGAAAGCATTAATAACATAGTTTTAGCGTTTGAAAACAATTTAATTGTGTGAAAATTCTTTCGGCGTATAGTTTATAACAAAATGATAAATTGAAGAATGTTGCCTAGGAAATCTCAAAAGAATATCACCGACTGGCATTAAAATAATATCAATTTCGAATTATTTTAATTAATTTGTAATTAATTTTGCCCCTCAATACAAGCTGGAAACTACGTCCCATATCCTAAATTTTGAAATTAAATATTTCAGTTTTTGTCGTACAGGAGTCATTGATTTTGTGATTTATTTTTTAGAAAGCGTATATAAATTTTAAAATGCTAAAACATAAATGTTTGCGTTATTTAAAGCATTTTTGTGATTTAACGTATATGTCTGTAGTCAACTGTTGAGAAAAATGCACCGAAGAGCCATTACATTATGACCACCCTGTTAATAACATGTGGAACCACCTTTATCCCTCAAAATTGCAAGCAACCGGCGTGTCATTGACTCCATAAGGTGCTGATATGTAGTCTGAGGTATCTGGTACCAATCGTTTACCAAATAGTCCCGCAATTCCCGCACATTGCGAGAGGGTAGCAACGACATGGTGCATCATCCTGTTGGTAAACACCATTCCCCGCCGGAAATACTGTTATCATGAATAGGGGAACCTGATCTGCAACGATGTTCACGTAGCGCAAAGACGTCAGGGATTGTTCTATGCGGATTATCGGTCCTAATGTGCCCCATGAAAACATTGCACACACCATAATACTTCCGCCACCGGTTTGTCTCCGTCCAACTGTGCATCTGGAAGCCAGGGTTTCATTTGGACATCGGCGTATTAGCACACGCCCGTCGATGTAATGGACCAGAAAACGTGATGCAACTTTCCATGCAACTTTCTTCCATTCTTCTAATGTCCAATTCCGATGTTTCTTGGCCCATTGCAAACCTACTGGCGATGCCGTACCTTCAGTTCAGGTACATGCTTCGGCCTCTGGCTGCGTAGGCCCATACGCAGTAATGTACGCTACACAGTGCGTTGAGAACTACTGTATGGGTCGCCACTGTTGTAGCTGGTGGTGATTTCGGCTATTGTACCTCTTCGGTCACGGCGAACAATACGTAGCATTCTGTCGTCGACGGCTTGTCGTTTCACCATCCATTCACCACTTTCGATATGTGCTCACAAGAATTGCACATGAACAGCCCTCTAAACGCACTGTTTCTGATATTGATGTTCCCATTCGCAGAGCCATAACGATTTGACCTTTATCGAAGTCTGATAAATCAGCTGATTTTCCCATTATGTCGCTAATCGCGCTATGTTTGGAAAGACAACGCATAGCCGCTTTATATACTTAAACATCAGCCGCGCATGCGCAGTGGTTTTGTTCCTGGGCGAGCCCATTGTTATAGATGGTGGTCATAATGTAATGGCTCTTCGGTATATATACAGGGTGTTTCAGCAAATCGGTTACAAAGTTTCAGGAGAGATAGAGTACACCTAGACGATGAAACATCACATAGCAATGCATGGTCGAAAAGGCTTTCTTGCCGCGGTAGTGACAGCAAAAACAAAGGAAGAATATGAACAGGGTTGAGAAAACATGTTCATTATGCTTAGTACAGCAGAAATCAAGAAATGACAACAAAAATACACAGTGATCGTCATTAAAGAAGTTGTTCGAAATTATGACTTTTTACTTAGCTTTACTTATTTTTTTAGCAATAATTTAATTTCGGAGTACTGCATTTTCTAAAAATGTACTCCGAAATTAAATTATTGCTGAAAATAATAAAGGATATATTATAGTGCTTTTCAGACGGTTTTTACTGCCACAGCGACATCTAATGTTGATGTTTCAATAAACAGTGAACGTGCACTTTAAAGTGCCTGTTTTCTAAATCTTTCTTTACAATAAGCCTTAGAATTCGCCAAAGGAACTCCTAATTAAGGATACTTTAAATTTTATTATACCTGCACTTTTAAATGTGGATATGTAAAAACTGTAAAGATATTTCAGCTTTAAAGATACCTTTTTTACAGAATACAGAACGGCGTATGCCTGCGAAGGCGGCCAGCTTCATATAAGTTGCGAAGAAGGCTATCTCATTCATCTCATCCGTGCCAATTATGGACGTTTCAGCATCAGTATCTGCAACGAACACGGTAGCTTGGACTGGAGTGTCGATTGCTCATCTCATCGCTCTTACTATGTTATTTATGAACGGTAAGTTTTGCGAATGCCTTTTAGGGAACTAAAGAGCGCGTATTTTCAAAATCCTAGGTTAATTTAGTTTTTTTTTTTTTTTTTTCCGGTATCGCCTTTGTAACTGAATGATGATAGCTAACAATCTGTTTCATTGAAATGTAAATTTAGTACACAGAAATTTTTGCTCCTATGCAGATTAGAATTTCCTATTTTATTTTCTCTCTTAATGTAACATATTTACTTCTCAAATCGTGCTCATTTACAGATATTTATTCAAACCGCATAATTCCAGACATGAACCGTAATCTAAGTTGCATTCATATGATCATGTGGTGGTAGAGGGCATGAACTCTTAAGTTGAAGGTTAGCACGCATTAGTCAACACGGTATAGTATAGATAAGATCCAGACGAGAACTCAAACCATTTATATATTTGGTACCATCTGTTACCAAACTGAATCAAAATACAAGTTTCACACCTGCAAATAACTACATTTTCTATACCATGTAGACATTTTTAAGTAATAAGTAATATATTGATAATCTCAGTAAACAGTAAATAATTTACTGACTCAATTTCAAAGTGAACTACAGGGTACTACATAACTTTGAGGAAGCGGTTTCGATAAAACAGTGAAGTCCTTGGAAGTAAAGCAATATTTAAACAATTTTTATTTTAGTTTTTCAAAATAGCAAAATTCTGTAAATTAAATATTTTTTGCCTGGATTACTGATAGGTAATCAGCTGCTAATCTTAACTGATGTTGTGTTTTTCTTGAATGTGTAAAACAAGACCGAATCTAAACGAATATCATATTCCAGTTTCAAAAGCATTTTAATTAAGTATCATGTTTAAATTCATTTATATTATTCTACCCAATTTTTCAATTTAATTTATTACTATCGAGAATGAAGAATGAAGAACCTTTTTTACTTTATTTTTTTTTTTAGGTGTAACTTAATGTCCAGCTGCGTCGTAAGTGCAACCAGTGAAACATTTGCTGACCCTTGTCCAGGTACATTTAAATATCTGGAAGTACAATACCAGTGCATTTTAGGTAAGTTAAAAATTTTTATTTAAAATTTTTTTCGCCTTAAACACAATGATTGTTATGTTTTACTTCATTTTGTCATACGTAGTTTTACGTAATAAATGCGCGTCGATTAAAAAATGCTGCAAGGAAATATCCCAGAATTGTAAAAGAAAGCTAAATAATAATTCGTGAAGACATGAAAGTAATTTTTTCCCCCTCGTTTTCTTTTTCTATTTTTGGGGGGCGGGCGGAGGAGACGAAATAGTTTATTCGCTAAAATATGCAGACATTTCTCCTTTGTAAAAAAGGGTTGTCAAACGTCTGACCTTATTCCAACTATTTTTATTAAACGTGTATCTTTTTATTCATCTATCTATATATAAGAGAACAATAGGTAAGGTAAAATGTACTAATTTTAATTTTCAATAGATCCTTAGCTCTCCATTTCAATTTTGGTTTTTCTCCTTTCTGTCCAAAAAAAAAAAAAAAAAAAAAAATAGGAAATAAAATGCTATGCTCTATACTGCGTCACTTCAAAACTAAGCTATGTCATATAATGCTAACGATGTAGATACTTACATATCGCTTTAGCCAATGATGATTTCTCATTTGGGAATCGAAATTAACAGTAGCCAATGGGAACCAATCTGAACCTAAACTAAATCATTCTGCAAAAAACTTTCGTCTTAGACACGTTGCATTTCTGCTCGCACTTGCTGGCCTGCCATCATATTGCTGCTTATTTCTGAATTGCATTGATACTTGATGTGATCGATAATGGGCGCGCAGTTTGGCCTTTGACGCTGCGTAATTTAAGTAAAAAATGCGCTTCTCAAGATTTTTTTTTTTTTTTTTTTTTGGTCCAAAAATAAAATATGTCCTAGTGACCATGAATGCTTTGTTTCCGCCATCAACCTCTAGAACATCACATACATACACTGTAACCATAGAAGTTCTTATCCGGCGTTTATTTTCGCAACCACTGCTCGTAGACACATACTTCTAACTAAGAAAATGTTTTAAATGCCGCATATACTCATTTTTTTTGCCATTTTTTTAACTTTAAAGAAATCAATTTTGTAAAAATTACCAAATATAACTTTTTATATGTTCCTTCGGTTTCTGTACTTATAGTTAGGAAACTTTTATACTCTATATAAAATATAAAGCGCAGAAATTTGACTCTCCATATGACCAAATGAACAGAGATATTTAATTTCAAAATTAGCAAGTACACAACTTCCTCTTCAAATATTTTTATCATAATTAACTCATTAAAAGTCGTGCTACGAGTGACTTCTTTGAACTTGTTAGTTTACCAGTTAATTAGTTTAATAGAGGTAAATTTAAAATCCCTTCTTTTCTTAAAATATTTTGCACAACTCTGGTTCTGCATTTCTACATTTTCAATTTCACTGCCTTCTCATTCTTAACGAGCAATTTTCTAACCAACTTCAGACTCTCATTTCAATACTTAACTTTTCTTTGTCTATAGCCCAATCAACAATATTCTCTTTTAGAAATTTTTCTCACCAATTTGCGTCCACAATTAGAGCACTAGGAATTTGTACGCCAATTAAAATTTGTCCTTGCAATTGCATTTTTAAACATCTTTAGCATCTCAGTTTAAAAGTTGGAACCGTCACGACAATAACAAGGCACTATTCTTCCAGAAGTTTTTCCAACAAAATGGCTAAAACTGAGCAATCTAAGCTGCTTAAGTGCTAGAAATTTATTATTGTGCTAATTATTATATAATTGTTGTGTATGGTGTATGTATGTTACGGTGAAACACCGAAATCTGGAGAATGTCGAATTTCACCGGTGAATGTCAACATTCACATAGTCTCTTGGTGTATGTCCGAAATATTTCCCAAATACTCTTATTTCTGACTTACACCGGTCAATGTCGACATTCACCATGTACTAATGGTGAATGTTGAACATATAACAATATTATATTTTCTTCTCCGTAATTCAGTCGCGAATAACGCACTTGAGACTTGAAATAAGAACTTAAAAACATGAGAACCTAAGACACACAATACATTCAAAATGAGAAAGGAAAATAATAGAAGTTAAAAACTTACTTAATTATAAAAATTCTAAAGGAGAAAATAAAATAACAGTAATAAAAAACTTACTAAATTATGTGATTCAAATCTTATTTATTGCAACAACTTAAACTATTATGGCACTTTATGACCTCTCTTTTCGACTTTCACCAGAGCATATCTGTGATTGTCAACATACACCAGTGAGGGTCCGAATATACAAGAATGTAGTGAAATATTCAGTCTTTCACCGACGTATTTGGTGAATGTTTGATATTCTTCGGTGAAAGTCGACATTCTCCAATTTCGGTCTTTCACGGTAACATCTATATAGTATATGTATATACATTTATATATATATATACTATATGTACATAGGTGTGTATGTGTGTTTACATAAGATAAGGTATTTCAGTTTTCATTGCGTACCCTAAAATGTGATTCTTAGATGCAGTGACTAAAGATCAAAACTATTATTAATTTTTTAAACGGGAGAGCTTTGAAAAAATAATTAAATTCTAATATTTAATGTTTGTTATACGTCTGCAGAAAGTATGACAACTTCCAGTTCATCTAGTTCTGAAGTCATTAGCACTGCAAGTACTACGACGAGGCCGCCAATTATTATTCCTCTGACACGGTCGAGCAGACCAACAATTTTCACTACTCCAGTAACTACAACTTTTACCCCCAAACTGTCAACCATTTCATACACCACGGCAAGCACCCTGTCCACTACAAGTACGTATGCTATTACGAAAATTTTCCCTTTCACTGAATTTCGTGTTTTGGTGCATCTTTAATTTTAAACATTTTTTCAGAATATATACCTCCCAGATCTACAACAGCAATGACATTGTTCAATAAAGAAGAGCACTGCTACCCGACTCATTCAAGAAATCTTTCTTGGGACTGGACAAAAGCTGGAACAGAAGTTGTGCAAAAGTGTCCTGGTGGTACATTTGGTAAGCCCATTTTAAGCCAAATTTCAGCGTCAGCATGCAGAAGAAGAACATTTCTTTTGCAACATTCTTATGCCTTCGTTTCTAATTAAAAACGGAAGGGCTGTAGATGAACTTGGATGAAATTATTTGGAAGAACTCAGCATTCATTAAGTATTGATTTCAGTGTATAACGCTCTGTGTATTTGGAAAGTCAAATGCAGATAGGCTCCTTTTTTAAATGTTTAGTTTCTTAAAAAAACATAACCGTTTTCTCCACAGATGAAACATAGGGCTTCATATTTACAAAATATTTACAAAATTAATAAAAACATATTTACAAAATAATAAAAACAATTTACATACATTACAAACATATTTACAAAATTAATAATACAAATTACAAACATATTTACAAAATTAATAAAAAAATTAGTAACAGACAGTAGTAGGAAAGAGAAAACACACCGTTAAAAAGTAGACTTGGTAACAAATTTTCGCAGAGCAGACAAAATCCTTTTCCATTTAGTAAAATCAGAAAAAAAGTTGGCGGCAAGAAAGTGGGAAGTGTCCGGAATTCATTTCGAGGCGTAAAAGCCTCAAAAGCATTGTCTTTGGCGTAAAAGATTTTGAGCCTGGTGTGTTTTCCTGAAATCAAATAAACAAATCACAAGCTTGAACCTCTTTAAACCCACCAATGGCCAGCTCGATAAGAGTGTTGTATGACTGTTTTCGCTATTTCCTTAACACGAAGTGCTCGTACAAGCCAACTTTCTTTAAAAATCCTTCCATGTAGGCATTCCTCTCTGTCAGCACTCTTTCCACAATCCGTTAATCTAAACCTTATCCGCTTTACATTCCTGTTCAAAACTCTATGCACATGGAATAACTGAGTTAAAATGTAATCAAATATAAAATAAAGCTGTTTTAATTGAAGCCAGATTGATCAGATGAATGAGGCCACTAATTTGTCTTTCAGAATTCATTGAGAATTTTTCTTTTGAAATCCCTGCATAAATCTGAATTTAAAAAATATATATATATATGCCATTTTAGACAATTTAGAATATTTTTAAATTTCATCTTGATCGAAAAGTAATGCAGGATTGGGACAGAGAGCTTCAAATAAAATTATATTTGTTATGCAAATTTACCATGTTCTATTGCCTCTCATGTTTTCAGGATATTTCATTACTTTCTAATCAACCCTATATTTTATTTTGGCTAGCCCACTTAGTTTCTAGAGTAATATTATATTATATTTACATTGTTGATAACGTAATGATTATTTCCATATAATACCACATTTTTTTTTTTTTTTAGGTGAAGCTCGATGGCGATGTGGAACAAATCCTGTCCAGTGGGTACCTGAAAGTCCAGATCTGAGTGAATGCAGTTCTTTATGGGTGGATAATTTAAGAAACAGAGTGCGTGGTATCCTCTTGTAACTTATTAATAATTACATTATTTATGGAGCAAATATATCGAGTGCAGTTTTGTTGTTATACCAGTATAATTTCTTTGACTGCATAATATCCTCCCGTGTCAGTATTTTAGCATATAAACATGAAATTAATTCAGTAACTTTATTTTGAAAGCATCAGAATGCCTAGGCATTTTTAATTATTCATAATTTGTGATACATAAAGAAATTATTATTATTACACTCTTGTTTGCGAAAAATTGAAAAACTCTATGCAATCATGTGAATAAATTGACAGGAAATTATAAGTAGTGTACGATTGTAGGATGACTATTCTTTGTAAATCTAATCTGAAGCAAGTTTATCTAGCAAGGTTTTTTTTAAGGAGATAAAACCCTACTAGATTGACAAGCGAATTATCACTCTGTATGAAAGTACTACAGAATCCCAAAAAGGTTTTAAAACACACTTTTCATTTAAAACTTGAATGTAACAACGGCTAGCAAAATTACTAAAGCCGGAATACTAATTTTGCAGAGCTGGCCGAGAGAAAGTACAAACTGAGAGCATCAGTTCCAAAAGCTCTATATCTAAAATTTTCAAAAACTCCGCCTTAAGTACGCGTATTTATTTGCATCGTGGTCAGGGTTAACAAAAGGAGAAGAGACGAAGCAGATCCAAATCATGTGTAAGAAAATTGGTCATTTAACATAAACCGTGCGTGATATGCGAAGGATTAAAATTTCAGAGTGATAACGCATATGTGGCCAGAATATTTCGCTCTGAACTGTGGTGTTAGCCCTAAAAATAAAGGTCTACAGCGGATTTTAAAATAGTGTTTGGTTATTTGCCAGAGGTAAACGTTTATGAGAACTCACTATATCTTGTGGACTACAGAGGGTATAAGCATGCTAAACCTTTCGAACAGAAAAGAAGGATTTACCTGCGAGAAAGAGGGCTTTCCTAACGTAAAGCTCGTATGAGCTTAGTGCCTTGTCAATAATTTGTGTGTGTTGAAGGAGTGGGTTTAGAGAACTAGACAAGTCGCAAATTGGCAATGGATCACAAATTGCCGCTGTTGTCGTCGTCAACAGCACGCCGGCATCTATTGTTTGCATTCCTTTGGACAGGATTTTCGTCACACAAAATCATTGACGTCTGCAGCTACAATGGTCACGTAACACAGCCGTTGCTGTGCCAACTGGCAACAGATCGCTTCTTCCGATAAATCGCACATCAACTTGGATTACAACTATGATCGAGTACGCGTTAGGCACTGTGGGACCTGAACCCATTCTTCCGGAGTGCATTATCTAGCCATAAACATAAGTATATTAATGTTTTACACAATTGATATGACGACTAATTTTTCTTAGGTTGATGGCGGAGATTCTGTCGTAAATATTGCTACTGAATTATCGGTAATGACTCACAGGAAACCATTATACGGAGGAGATGTGAGGCATGCCACTGAAATCTTGCATCGACTTGTAGCCAAGATGGCAGATAAGATGAAAGAAATAGCAGATGATAAACAACGACATCAGCTACTTCAAGAATTATTAGAGGTATTCTCGACAAGATTACTTTATTAATGTGTAACTTTTTTAAGAAAATTTTTGTTATTAATAAAAAATGTTTATCTTTTATTGTATAATTCTCCCCAAATTATGAATTAGACGATAACCAGATAACTAACTTCCTTTGTAGAAAAATATATTCATTAACGAAGAACTAAAATCGCTTTTTTAAAAAAAATAACTTCATTCTGCTAATTAGGTTATTAAAGAATAATGATTTTTATTAAATCAACTTATTATGATAAACTCATTTTTGCTTAAATTAAAGCTAATTTAACCTCGAAAGATGAATTTTCGATCATAAATGATTACAACACAAATAACAGCTAAAATTCTGCATCAACATGATGTGCAAAACTAAAACTAATGAATATAAATACACTTCAGTTTCTCTCAGGAATAAGGACAACACGAAAGCAAATTGTTTAGAGCTCACGAGTTAAATTCTATTCCAACGCTTAGCTCGTGTGGTTTCACAAACGAATTACCTCATATTCAACAGGAAAAAAAAAAAAAAAAAAAAAAAAAAAATGTCACCAGCTAACAGAAATACTTCTCACAACCAGAGGAGATCTTTATGTCCGGCGGGCGTTCGCAGCTCTCCTTCAGTTGATTTAGATTTTTACACCTGTTTAAAACTCCTCTCATTTACATATTCTGGTGAAGTAAATAAAATTGTAACAGTATGGGGCAGATTTTAGCATAAGCAAAACGTCTTACTTAAAATAAGACTTAAAAACTGGCTGTTAAAATAAAGGATGAATCGTATGAAGCCAAAAAACTTCTGCTTAAAAAAAAAAAAAAAAAAAAAAAAAAAAATTCCACCTTTCTTTCAATAAAACATTTTGGATTGTATAAGTTATGTAGTCTGCGTTTTTAGAATGATTCGTAAATATAAAATCTAACATTTTACATGATCCTCATTTTAGAAATTCCAATTATTAAAATATTCAGTTTACTTAATCAGCCGAAAACTTTTCACACTTAAAGTGCAAAATTCATGAAGATAATTAGAAAACGGATGTACTGATTTAGATCAGATTTCAACTGTTATGGCCAAAGGAAAACAAACAAACAAAGGCTCTTTTTTTTTTTTTTTCCTAGGCTTAAATGATTTTGAAGTCTAGATGGTATATTGATGTAGCCAGTTCGAGTGAATTTGAGAAAGGCAATTATTTAAGCTCCAAATCAAACTATGTAGAAATAATATTTTTTGTCTGAAAAGTGAATCATAAAATTAAGTCTAAAAAAAGTCTAATCAAAGACAATTTTTTGTTATACCCATGCCTTTAAAAAAAAAAAAAAAAAAAAAAAAAAAAAAAAAAAAAAAAACAAATACGGAATTTTTTCAATATACTTTTGCGTGTAAAAATTAACACTGAAGAGGACATATTTCTATACTTCTTCAACACATATTTAACAGATCGTTAAAAAATTTACTAGCGGTCGAGCGATAAAGTCGCTGAACACTGGCAGTTTGGTCCGGGGTTCGAATCCGTGCGAATGGGCTGGCTGCAGGGGCGTCTGAATAGATTTTACACATGGGGTCTTCTCCAGTGTATATGAGCCAGATTCCTGTAGAAAGTCCTCCTCGAAGGCATTTCTTCCCTTAGGCAGATAACCATCGAGTACTTTGCCATATTCAACTAAATAAAACTAAATAAAACATTTGTATTACGCATAATCTAATAATGAGATGTTAATACTGCTAATGTACACGGCACCGCACAAAACATTATAAAGCTAAAAATTGCTGATAAAATGTTTAATATTACGGAAAAATTGATATTCTTATACTCACTTGGAAAATTTATGGTTTTCTTAAAATCTGCGTCAGTTGCTGTCGGTGAAATTAATATCTATGCCTCAATGATCCCAAACGCATCTTTTTCAAATTAGACCGTTGTATGTTGCCGATATGCGTTAAGCTTCAGCCGTCCATTCTGCTTAAAACATATGAATTCTAATTTATTATTTTTATTTTCTTTTTAAAACTTATTAACTGAAATGTCAAATGGTTCAAAACTGAAGTTAAGTCTCTAGAAAGCGCATCCATTTTTTGAAGCCCTTTCCGTTCTTTTTCACATAGATGGCCCAAGAAAATATCGTGCTCAAGGAGTGACGTTCTCAAAGTGATGACACCAGTCATCATCTGCCATGTAGGTTATCTTTACACCAAGTGATTCATTAATTCCTAATTCTTCCACCATTTTCCTTGTACTTGGACTTAACTTACAGGTGGATATTTAAAATATTTAGAAAGGATATTTCTTTTAAAATTCTGTCCACTTCTGTAAAGACTTTCAAGGTCTATGTAGAAAAAGATCTTTCCTTGTGATCTACTTTTTGTTTGTTTGTTTGCTTAGTGCCTTTTATTATCTTTGTTGCTTTAGTTTAGACTAGTGCCGAATATCTATTCGTTAACTAGAGTAAGAAACGCTTTTCACAATTCATACTCTCTCGAATTCATTCCCAGTAATTTCTCTCTCTCTCCTGTTGTTTGCACCAGTTTCTGAATGTGAAATTCTCTAAGACACGGATGTTTATTATGATGTAACACGCGTCTCTTGTTATGTTTGGGATTATAAACTCGAGTACATCTTTGCCATGGCTACCATGCTTTGGCAGACCGATGACAAAAAAACTTAGTGAAGAACGGGGATTAAATTGGTGGTCTTGTTTGAATAAGACAAATATTGGAAAATGGCATTTTTATTCCGAACATTTAATTTGTATAAATCCAATAACATAGTTTTTTAAGGCAAAAGGGAAACAAAGTGGAGGCAAACAATTTATAATTAAACATTTTAAGATTATATTTTTATCCGTTGGTTGGTTAACTAATTATTTATGGCACAAAGCACAAGGGTTGTCTGTCTAATTTTTTATATTCTGTGTAATGTAAACTATGTACTGACATACATAAAATGATATATTTTAAACACTAATCAGATTTTATATTTATGATAAATGTGTGACAGAAAAAATATTTTTTATAGTGCGCAACGGATGTCACAAGCAATTTGCTTGAAGTTTCTCCATCTTGGGGAGAACTAGCAGCTAGTGAAAGAAGACATATTGCATCGACACTTCTTGAAGCTTTGGAGCGAAGTGGCTGGCTACTTGCTTCGGCCCATAGGTCGACGTTCTATTTCCGCAAAGCTTTACACAATCTTCGTGAGTTATTTGCATTTATACTTTTTTCAGAAAGGGTGAATATAAATATTTCGGCCAACGTTTATGGTGTTTAGAAAATTCATATGCTTACTGCATGAAGCTATTTGAGGAATTTTTTTAAAAATTCATATTACATCCAAATCTGTTAATATTTATCTCTGAAAAATAAATCATACTTGCAATAATTAATTTTTATCAAAGTAAGGAAAACTTTATTGAATATTTGGACTGCAGAAATTTCTGTGAAAATGTGAGATCTAAGACAAGCAGTAAGTAGTTTTATCTTTTAGTGCATATTTTGTGTCGAAAAATATCCGCGAACTTGAAATAATTCGATCATGATGAAACTGAAAGTAATGAGAAGATAAAGGTTTAGAAGTGATTAAAACAAGTATCAATAAGTTCATTTAATGAGCAGATATAGGTTTGAAACAGGCAGGGTAGCTCCGGTGCGGGTGTTCAAATTGTGCCTTGCAAAAGAACACCAGACAGGCAGTGGTGCCATTTCAAAGAAGTGCATAATGATAAATTTTTATTTCATGTAACTAATTTAGAAGCAAACGTTATTACACAGACTGCTTGACAAACGCACAGGATTACAAAGCTGATCACAGTGAAAAAAAAACAAAACTTGAATGAGTTAAAAAAACTAATAAAAACTAATAAAAACACGGCTAATTAAAAAAATTATAGAAAGTAGCCTAATTAATATTTTTTTTTTCAAATCGAACTTGTTTTAAAAGAGGATGAAGAGTTTCTTTCATAACCCTTGAAAATTCCAAGTTTTTATAATAGATTATTTTTAATAGATTATTCATGCCAAATTAAAATTAAGAAATCAGCTCTTAAAATCAAATGCTGAAGAAAAGGTACAGCATGATTATAATTAAAGTCCCACTTTCAAAAAGGCCGTAAAATAAATGAATAAAAAATTTTAAAAAAACGCTGGTCGGAATGACCTGAATATACGTGAAGCAATGGGAATTTATCTGGCGAAAGGAGAAAAAGAATAGTTCAAGATTTTATCAATAAGTAGCGCCGTATTCGTTATAATATGCTATGTTATAATAAGGCGTGACATCCTTAGTTTTGATCTCTGCCTATCTTCCACCTTTATCCAGAACAAGAGACAAATTTCCGGTGGAGGATTTTAACAAACTGCTCAATTTATTAGCCAATATCATTATCGCTGGTGATTTAAATTGTCTCCACCAGGCTTAGCGTTGTAAAAATTCCAACACCGCTGGTCGTGGCTTCCTAAAACGGGCTCAGTGCGCCCAATTTAAAATTATACCGCCGGATTCACCCACACGATACGATGTACGGGCAGCCCCTTCTTATACTGATTTGGCTCTTTTTCGAAATATTCCTTTTGACTTTCACGTGACTGTGGAAAGTTGTCTTGGGACAATTTTCGATATAAACTTAACAGTAAAAGTTTTCCCTCTCTCGAAATTAAATCCAGTGACGATATTGACAAGGTTGTTGGTCATTTAACGTCTATCCTAACAGATACCTTTTAAGAAGTATCAAAACCCACCCTTCGCCCCAATTTTAATAAACTTCTAGCTGAAATCAAACTCAAAATTCGCGAAAAGACTAAAGTAAGAAGGCTTTGGCAAAGAATTAGAAGTCCTGACTTAAAATTACAACTTCGTGCTCTCCAAAATGAGATCAAGGCTTCATGCGATCAGTTCAATCAATCACGATACTCTAATCACATTCAGTCCCTAACGACCACAGATAACAGTCTTTGGCGTGCATCTGCCAGACTTCGCAAACACAATCTCACATTCCGTCATTAGCTAATGACGCAGTGGTGGCTCATACAGACACGGAGAAAGCTGAATTAATTGTTGACAGTCTCCAAACACAATTCACACCACATAATGAAGGGATTTTTGCTAATACCGCAAATTCCTTCCTACTAGATGCTGAAAGATTTCTAAACTCTTCATGTCAGAGAGACATACATTAAACAACCATGCACGAAGTTAGCCAATATATCGTTAAATTAAATCCTAAGAAAGCGCCTGGATTGGACTCTATTTCGAACCGCATGATTAAATACTTACCTACCAGCTATCTATTTTTCTTAGTAATGCTCATAAATTATATGTTACTGCATTGTTATTTTCCTCAAAGCTGGAAGAGCGTGCTTATTGTGCCTATTCCGAAACCTGGCCAGTGCCATTCAAATCCTCAAAATTATAGACCTATCAGCCTCCTATCTTCGTTATCAAAGATTTACGAATTTGTGCTACTTAAACGCCTGAATGATTTTCTTCGGAGCTAAAAAGTCCTTATTGACGAGCAATGTAGTTTCCGAGCAAAACACTGCACAACGCACCAGCTTTTGAGAACAGGGAAGTTCATTCACGAAAGCTTTCGTAGCAAAATGCTTATTGGCCCCCTTTTTCTTGACATAGCCAAAGCATTTGATAAGAATTGGCATATGGGTATTATTATTAAGCTCATGCGACTTGGTATTCCGGCTCAACTTATTCACATAATTAACTCGTATCTCACTAATCGTTCTTTCTCAGTACGAGTTAATTCTATCATTTCGGCTCCCCGTCCAATCCTAAGTGGCGTAGCTCAAGGTAGTCTACTTGGACCGACTATATTATTATATATAATCTTTATCAACGACATTCCAAAACCACCCAGTGTTACTCTAGCATTCTATGCAGATGACACAGATTCTATGCAAATCAAAACTTGATTTTTCCTATCCCTAAACTTTCTCGAGCTAATGTAGCTCCCTCTAGTGTGCATCATGATAACCAATTATGCAGTTTTCCTATTTCTGCTCATTACTTACATATTTTTCTGATGTGGAGGTACATGGTTTTGAATCATAGGCACTCCGTAACTTATAATCATTGGCGCACCTCACGTTTAGACGTAAAAAAGCACTTGTTTCCGTTATTCTGCGTCTGGGAAGCTCGTCAAAACTTTGTTAATGAAGGATCATACTCTGCTCTTGAAGCCTTTTTACAAGAATGGTGACTAAGTCAACAGCTCTGAAGACGTCACGGACATTAATGTGTATAAGACGTGACTTTGGTCCGGTGTCTGCGAAATCTATCTGCGAAATATGATTTGCAAGTTCGAAGAGACTTCAGTTTACATGAGATCTGGCAGAAAGAGGAAGGTAGTTGCTTCGACAATAGTGGAAGATATAGCTATAGCAGCGTTTACCAAACTTTTTTGACCGCGACCCGATAAGAGATTTTAAATTTTTTATTAATTAAAGACAATCCATTATCTTCATTTAAAACTTAAAGTAAATAAAGTAATTTTTTTTTTACATATTTTGACTTTAGTGCGAAGGATGATGTTGTCTTTCATAACATAGTAATTTCAAATTAAGACTTAATGATGTTGATTTTATTCTCAAATTAGATTCGACATCCAATCTGTTTCGATAGATATTTTTTAAGTACACCAAGGCTGAGAACGCAGTTTCACACGTATAAGTGGTGACAAAAGGCATTAAAAATTGTATCGCTTTTTCGCTTACGCTTGGATATTCCTTTTGACAGCGCAACTAAAAATTAATTAGTGGTACAGTTTCAAACACTTTTTTAAGATTGATGTCGCATGAGAATTTCAATTAAATTATCAACTTCTTGTTCACTAAGATTAAGCATTTCTTCCTTTTCAATATCGACAGAAAAAGGATCTTTAATCCACATATTATTTGAAGGATTATCCGGAAAATAGTCTTTCAAACTATTTATTAGCTCCGAAAGATGTTCTTGAATTGAAACTGGATAATGTTTCAAGATGTAAATTTTCTTCATCGTAGTTTGAATGGGTTTCAATAAATTTATGTAATGTTTCAAAAGATTTAAAATTTCCTTTTGAAAGTAGTTGTTTCCACAGTCATTTTTTAAATTATTGCAGCGACTTTTTCCGATACTTTGAAAATATTTAAACCAAAGCCTTGCAAATTTAAATTCGATTCATTGAATGTAGCAAATATGTCGCACAAATAAGCTACTTTTATTAACCACTCAAAATCGTGGAATCTATCCTTAAATGGAAAAATAGCATCTGTTTTAGATGGGTGGGTGTTCATTCAGAAATACCAAGGCTTCGTCTTTTAGCTCAAACGGACGTTTTAAAACGTTTCCTTTTGAAAGCCATCGTGAATTACAATACAAAAGGAGGTGTTTATGGTCACTCATCATTTCCTTGCATAATTCGATAAAAAGGTCTGATATTTAATGGACGAGACTTTATGTAGTTTACAAACTAGACACATTCTTCCAAAGTCATGTTTAAATTTAAAGGCATTCGTTTTGCCGCCAACGCTTGTTTATGGATAATAAAGTGCACCCATACACAATTAATTGCTAATTCTTGAATTTTTTTTAAACAAACCTTTATGACAGCCTCCCATTGCACGTGCTCCATCGCTACTTAGGCCAAAACACTTCATCCAATTAATACCGTGACTAGTGACAAAATCATTGGTAGCCTTAAAAAATTTCATCTGAGGTCGTTCTTGTCGATAGCCTTTTACAAAACAAAAAATTTTATTGTATGGTGTCTTTGTTAATATATCTAATAAAACACATTAGATTTGCATTATCCTCGATATCTGTTTCATCTATTTGCAAGGAAAAAAACTTGCTCTTTTTTACTTGAGCAACTAGTTCTTCTTCTAAAGGTTTCGCGCAATCATCAATTCTCCATTTAACTGTATTATTTGATAATGGTATCGCCGAAAATAAACATTTTCCCTTTATTCCGCATAAATTGTTTGCGACAATTTTTAAAGCGGGAAGTATTAATTTTCTCCAGCATTTGTTTATAAAATAATTTATAAGAAAAAGTATTTTTATTACTTACCAATATGAAGTTGCTATTAATAATAGGTAACAATAACTATTGTCAAATAAAATAGGTAACAAAAATTCAAACATCACCTTGTTTTGATACACGTAAGTTTACGGCGCATGTACCGGAGAAGACACTGAATGACGAATCGAAATTAGCCAATCAGAGCATCCGAATTTAAACGGTACGGTATGAAACGGTGGTAAAGGGTTGCCACCTGCAGTACTTGAAAAAGTTTCAAAAAATAATAAATTTAGAGCAAAATGTTATAGATTTTTTGTGTTTTTGCAATTTTTGCCACGACCCAGCTGAATTTTTCTGCGACTCACACTTTGGGAAACGCTGAGCCATGGCATTGCAAAACGAGACGAGCAGTGGTGTGAGAACGCGCAGTGCAAGCGGAACGGTTTAGACCTTGATTATAATCATTTGTAGATTCTCAGAGACAAAAAAAAACTTTTTTTTAAAAATTCAATTTTGACCTATTTTTTTCTTTTGCCAGACGAATTCCCATTGTTTTACTTATTATTCAGGGTCATTTAGCCCTGGTTCTTCTTACAGCCGTTTAAAAGTGGGACAAATTATAATCACCTGGTATATATACCTAAGGAGTAAGCAGCATTTTTCTTTCTATTTGACACTGTAGCATATTTTGTAAAATAAGTGTAGAAAATCGCATAACTAATATTTGTTTATCGTTCTTGTTTTAGACAATGAAGGGACAATGACTCAAAAGACAGCGAAGAGTTGGTTTTGTAATATGAAAAATTAAAAATTTAATAGCCAGTATAGTGTTAGCTGTTGAAATTTTAAAATCATAACCGAAAAACATACAGCAATTTTCGAAAATTCGCCAAAAAATCAGACACGATATTAAAAATTTGATACAAATTCCATTTACATTTTTGTTGTTGATGATATTGCATCTGATGTAACAGACAGTAAATTTCTGGGATTTTTTTTGTTTGTTTGTCAAACGAAAATATGTGTGAAATGTTAAGTTTAAAAAAAATCTACACTGAAATTTGAAAAAAATCTCTTCACTGCACTACATTGTCATCCACGAATACTAAGAGTACAAAATTTGAACTCGATAATTTATCAGGACGCAAATTAAAAATCGATGACAAACTTTTGACTATAACGACAAGGACCATAATGAAATAAATAAAAGATTATAATCAGAGTTCGTTGCTAGGGTTTTCAGCGCTCAGGGACAACTGAAGATTTCGCGCCCCCTACTGCTTGCCAAGGATGGAAAACATTTAATTCTAAAATGTCGTAACATCAGTTTGGCGCCCCTTGGATTCTGCGCCCGGGGACAGATGCCCCCCCCTCTATCTACGCCCCTGCTTATAATGAAGTTGTTTTATTTCGAAATTCCGCATATTAATGGAGCTAAAAGATTCTGAAGGAAGCTAGAAATATTGCTTAAACCCAGTACTTTCATAAGACTTTATTCTAGTTTCTGTGTTGCAATAAGCACTGAATCAGTCTGCACTTTGAGAATGCTTAAAAATGTGGATGATTTTAATGCTGATTCAGTGAATAATGATAATTATTCTATACATTTGTCAAGTGAGTGATGCAGATGAATTTTGAATGTCCTTTACAGAATTCAGCAGCATCACTTAACCGGAGCCCAGCAGGAGTGCAATAATGCTTTAAAGTATGCCGAAAACGAATTGGAGCACAAGCAGTATTATAAGGATGCTGAAATTAAAAATTACTTGTACAATATGAGCACAATTATGGGACAGACCTTTTACTTACATAAATCATATTATATGACCACCTACTTAAGATCACTTTTGCAGCTAGCCATGTTAGGCGGAATTCGGTCAGACAGTGGAAAGTTGTCACAATTATCTGCGAAAATGCCCAAATCATCCACGGATAATTTTAGCGTTGTAAAGTATCATACTGATGGATGCTATTACAATCCCTAAATAGTTCATCATGTACAAGTATACCTGATTAGTAACAACTGCTTGTAGAAACTAGATATAAGCCTCTAGAAACATTTAAGATTTCGTCTGCAGGCATCAAAGACCATGCCATGAAAGGATTCTTCAGGCTGCTTCATGAGTCTGCCTACGTCATGTAGTCATATCTTGGTATCTGATAAGTTTCATGCCTAAATACGCTATCATCCATTCCTTCTGAGCAAAAATTGCATTCATCAGTGGTCATTCTTCACTGCTGAGTTGGGTTCAGTTTCAAAATTCCTGCATAAATTGATGCTATCATGCATAGCTTTGAACATGATTGATATTACTAATTTATATTACCCATAGTCTAATATGTCTAGTTCACGGTACTGCAAAGTGGCCTTGTGATAAGGTAGATTGATTCACAGTAGCTCGCCGATACGTCCTGACGTACCATCTCAACTGGTTGGTTCGATAACAGGTGATACGTCTTGTCCAAAGTTACCTCTAACATTTCATACAGCTGTGTGGTGCAGAAATTCCGTAATGCAAAAAAAGGTTATCAGGCAGATTCGATATGCGCAATATCATTATCAATATTCTATGTGTAATATACATATGTAAATGTCACATAGTTTACTGTGCTGACGGGTGGTAAAATCGCTTATGCAGTTTCGCATACTTCGTACCCGCATAACTTAAAAGTTTAACGAACTGAAAGATGCAAGGTACAATAGGCAATTTTCCCCTTGTAACGTATTTCCCCCAAAACCTGTCTGAAAGGTAGATTCCGTAGTGCAATATTTTTTATTTGAGATCTAATATAGACCCTTAGGGTGGGGTTGCGGGTAAATTAGCCAGTCAAAAGCAAGATAAAAGTATAAGGTATTTCTCCCGCCTTCTTAGCATACCTTTATTTTATAGTGGTCAGCACGCTCGGCGCGTATTCGAGAGGTCCGTGGCTCGAGTCCCGCGAGGGCATTGCACATTTTTCATCTTTGCTGCTTTAAAAAAATATCTAATGTCTCTACAAAGGATGATCGGTAACCTTCTTCCACCAAAGCTAGCAATAAAAGACTTTTCTTGGTGTCCGATTCGATCTGCCGCTTGAAGTCAGTAACCTAGTTGCTTGAGAAGAAATTTTGAAAGTATTTCATGCCACGGGATGTTGCGAGAATTTATTCTTTCACTCTTGATTTAGATAAAATGATCATAGGTGGTTCAGATAAAATGTTGGCCATTTAGTCCAAATAGTGCTCCATTCTTCATTACGCAAGTTCAAACTGCAGTATGCGAGCTTACTCGAAATCCGCTTTTCCTTAAATGCTAGACGATATTTCCGATAACTGATTGTTGTCTCCTTCCCAAACCTGACACACTGTGTTTAAAGGTGGTAAACACATAGCTATTTATAGGCTTGCAATGAGGGCCCTTAGATGCAAAATTCAAGGTGAATATGTGATTACTACACTGGGAACATAATCTAACTCGATCTTACTTTTTTCATGTACATACACATCAGTGCCCGCGTAAATGTTTTAAGAAATACGTTCGTGAAGAATGATACTATTTTCTCATAAAACGGTATATTCTGTCATATTCCAAATATCTTTTTCCTTTCTTTAAAGCTTTTAGATTGGAATGAGAGTTAAAAAGTCGACTGTTAATTTTATTTCTCAGTTTGTTTCATATTTTGAAAATGTGCACAAAAATACTTAACAATGCGTACATATATTAACAGTCTATATTACTTCTACAGTTCTATCAGTTCGGGTTTTAGAAGCCTGGGCAGTATCCCACATAACATTTCCATCTGCAGAAGAAGTTGAAGGGACTTCATGGGAGCAAATTGAAGACTGTGTCCATCTCCCAATGCAAGCACTGCTGGGTACTGCTTCAAACGGTTTGTGTTTTGTTATTAAGTCTTACATTATAATCTGGACCTCATTTATAATTAACTTGAACGAAAATTTTAGATATGAATCTTTTATTATGAGGTAAATATATTTAAAATATCTTTTACAATCTGTGTTGCATGTAGCAGTATGGAAACACTTGTTTTTGAATAAAAGAGTTAACTTTATAAAAATTACATTAGTGAAACTAATATTATGTGAAAATATTAGACCATTAAATTTGCGCGACAGACACGTTACACTATTGAAGTTAATATTTTGTTTTAGCACTTTTAGCTTTCAGGAAAGCAGGCATTTACTTTGGCATTAAAAGTAATAACTTTTCGTTTTCATTTGGTAAAATTTAATGCAATGTTTAAATGTAATTTCTTTCAGGTTGAGAGTGGCGTCTTCAGGCTCTCTAATGAATTTTAAAACATCCCAAAGTTTTTTTTTTTTATAAGACTGAGATTTGGCAGTTTTGGGGTCCCATTCAGATATTATATTATTTTTAAAGAACTGCTTTAAAATTTTAGATGTGTTTTAATAACCATTGTCATCGTAAAACACAAATCGCTTATCTAACTAACTGCGTACCATTATTCAGAAGTAAAAGGTACTCCAAAATATATTTATAAACTTCAGTGTTTGAAATGTCTGTTCCTGTGTTTAAAGAACTATTTAAAAGATGTATCCTCAACAACATCACACAAGTACATCTTTGAACGTATTGTTTTTAAAAAAAGCATATGATAGTTATATGCCACCTTCCCCTTATGGAATTAATTCCATATTGGACATATTAATGATGAAAACAGCGAAACACTGCTAGTTCATTCGAGATTTAAAAAAAAAAAAAAAAAAAAAAAAAAAAATTGATTGCCGAAAATGTGATTCAATCTGTTGATCATCGAATGATCGACAAGATATCATAAATAAAAATTTGAATGTGAAATATGTGTGACTTATCTCACTTGTCTGACAGTAACATCAGAGCAAGCCCACGAAATTCATTGTGTCAAGGAGTGCAAGATTGCACCTGTCGTTCGCAAGAGTCTTGAGCACCATAGAGGTGACAGTCCGACTTCGCTTAGTTCCGCCTCCTTAATTTTGATGGAGAGCATCCCGGGGGACGGGCCCGAGGGTCTCCCACCCTTCTTCCCCTACCATCAACCTCTCGAGAGGACTTTCGGCGGCTTGCCGCATATTATACTGTCCCCCATGCCACACAGGCACACTAAATTTACAAGCATCCATGCCTCCTCCGGGATTCGAATTCGGATCTTTCGGTACCGCAAGGTAGGCTCCAATAGCCACTATACCATCTGGACGGCGAATGTGAAATATTCTGAGCGTCCTAACACCTATAAGTGAAATAATTTTTAGATTGCCTGGTATAAAGTTTCATCAACTTAAAACCAGTTACCGTCCTTTAAAAATAAAATTTGGAAGCATTTGCTTTTGTTTACTATATATATATATATATATATATATATATATATATATATATATATATATATATATATATATATATATGAGAAATATAAATTTCAAGTTAGCTGAACAAACTAATCATTATTAATTAATATTAGGTAAGGGAGTTATTTACAAATCTACGTATAGTAATACGTAATCTATATTCAGCATCCATCTGTAAGGCAACTAGTACAAATTTTAAATAGTAATGGATATTGATGAGAACTCTTTCTCACTTGTGTGCTATACGAACTGTAGTAAAATAGGTGACAGAGTAGGTTTTGCTTATCTCATCTATGAAGTTGGTGTTGAAATTGAGCACCACCAGTTTCATATTAGAAATAAATGTGCTGTTTATATTTCTGAACTTCTTAATATTAGTTTTACAATTAAATGGATACTTAGCCACGATAGACATATTTCCAGTTACTTAATCTGCTCTGATTCTCTCTCTTCTCTTAGAGTCCGTAAAAAATACCTGATCATGTAATGGTATTACTGTTAATATAGAGCAATCTGTCGGAGATCTACTGGAGAAAGGTACTTCAGTGTTTTTTATATTTGTTCGTTGGGCACACGGTGATATATGGAAAAGAGAAATTTGCTTGGCTTGCCGATTATGCAGCTAGAAAAGACATCAATGTTGATGTAAATATTCCAGAATCGAACCTTAAAAAAAATATACAAACATAAAATGATTGAAGAATGAAATTATGATTATATTACTTCTGATAGGGAGATATTACAAAAGCGTTCTTTCGAACGATCTTCGAAAGACTGCAAAATGAAGACTTATTGCTCAGTTTTAACGCTGCATAATTTTCATCTTAACGGAAAATTTAATGTTTATCCTGAACGGTTTAAGCTGATGTCTTCCAATTTGTGCAGTTGTGATCTCGGAGTTCCTCAAAGTGTCATTCATTTACTTTTTGGTTGTCCTTTGCTTAATTATGTAAGAAATTCATTAAAATGCAGATTGAAATTAATTCAATTAATTGGCCATCTAAATGTCATGAATTTGTTTCTTTGCCTTCGGTTTAACTTGCTTTTAAAGTCTATGGTGACTCTTATTTTAAATACTGTAAATGATTTTCTTTGTATATTATTTTTAAATCGTATGTTTGATTTATTTGCATTATTTAAAAGTTGATGTGTTTTACCTGCCCCTACATTTCGTAAGCCTCATGTGATATTTTGTGGTGCACGAGAAAAAAAATTTTTTCTTTTAATTAAAAAAAATGTATATAGCAAAACTAAAGATTTTTCTTTCCTTTTAATTTTAAACTAAAATTTATTTTATACACGATCGAATTCATATGAATTGCATTGTATCCTTGTTGAGTAATTATGTTTAAGACAAAATAAAGAAAATGTAGATCCACTTCTTTATCGAAGAAAGAGTTTCTGTCAATTAATACCCAAATTATTGCCAAATGTGCAACCAAACTGAAGAAATTCGACATTCGGAGATGGTTTGGGTACGGATATGTTGAAGAAGAGTAAATCTGCAAAGTGCAGGGCCAGAGCTGCCAGGATTTAGAAAAGGGGCTCTTAAGCCCCGGAAGTTGCTATTTAAACAATTACTAACACCTGTTTTTAAGTTAGAGGCAGAATTTTCGGTGATGTCCGTTTTCAGTCGTTGAAAGATCAACCGAATAAGAAGCTACTGCATTTTCAGCTGAAAATTTTTCCTCCACTTAAGGAATAAGCAGATTGCCTTAAACAATTAACCTAATCTTACCTTGTATGTTTTGACTTTAAACCAAAATTCATGTTAATTTAGGCATTTTTTATTTAAATATTAGAGTTGTAAATTTTTTAAAATTAAAAGTTTACATTTATTATGTTATTTTGGATTGTAGATTTGATGGCTTTCATACCGTAGATACTGCACATTTAGACTTGTGATTTCAACAGATAATGCAGGTTAATAATATCAATAGATATTCATCTCAACGAATAAATTTCATTAAAAAAAAGAAGGGGGAGGCAAATTTATTTCTGTATAGTTGTGTAGTTTCGTTTCAGTATTTAACATTTTTGACGTTTCCACAGTCTTGCTTCTTAGGTAGCATAACATTAGACCTGAACTCTGAAAGACAACTGATAAGTGTGTGCGCCGCTTAGATTGTTTCTGACCACAGAGGTGAACCAAACGGAATTATATACCATCACAGCGGGGAAATCGCAAAAGTTATAATGTTGAACATTATGTACTAATAGCAGTATCCATATTTTAGAAAGTCTTTCTTGTCCAGAATTAGTTCATATTAATACTCGTTCTGAGTACCTGAAACAATCGCTCAGATTTTTACTTCTTGTTGAATGAAAACAAGCTTACTATTCTATGATAAACTTACCAGTAACTCGAGGATTATTTAGCTTGATAACTGTAGACTCTAATCGTTATACTGGTTATCTGCTTTAACTTCTGATCATTTCAATTATAATATTATTCATGGTGGTTTCTGCTTACGCAGTGTCTTGAAATTTTCTCTATTTTACCAAGGACTACTCTATTTTTGAGTGTCTTGGATGTCCGCATTGCTCAGGCACAGTTCGCTGGTTTCTTTAAGTGTCACTTTATTGTATTAACGCAATGAAAGTAATAATGGACTGTGTCATCTCTCCGCACTCGCAGAAGGGCGTATCTCAAGTCTGAATATGTTGAGGTGTACTGGGAATGGCCCATCGACCTGTCAAGAATTGTGTTAGGCTACCATGTTGGGTCTCGATTTCCATGTTAACGTTTGGCAATAAGCGAAATGTCCTTCGCCCTAACTCTGCCTCTAACTGTCTGATTTGCCAATTTTACAGCAAGCTTATCAAAGTTGTTCATTTAATGTGAGACCAAAGAAGTTTAATTAGTTTTTCTAGTAATTCTGTGTCATTAGCTGCCTGCTTGCCAGAAGGTCCACGGCTTCATTACCTTGAATCCCTGTATGCGCAGGAATTCATTTTAAAGTGGTCTTTATGAGACAGGCATTGCCAGAAGGTCCACAGCTTCATTACCTTGAATCCCTGTATGCGCAGGAATTCATTTTAAAGTGGTCTTTATGAGACAGGCATTGCCAGAAGGTCCACGGCTTCATTACCTTGAATCCCTGTATGCGCAGGAATTCATTTTAAAGTGGTCTTTATGAGACAGGCATTGCCAGAAGCTGTTTTTGAATTCGGTATGCCAAGAAACTCCTGCTGTTTTGTCCTGAAATAGCCGCCAGACTTGACGCTGGATCGCCGAGTATGGAGAATTTCTGTTGGTGAAAATTTAAATAGTGTAATACTTTGTCTAATTTTGATTTGCAGAAATCAAATTAAATTTATGAAACTTATGAATACTATTTAATTCAGTTTATGAATACCATACCATTTCTTTCCTGTCTTATAACTGTGCTTTTCAGTGGTAACTTTTGAAGTGGAATATTTACTATTTTTTCCCAGGAGTAGTCAAAATGGTTTTTGCATCATACAAACAAGTCAAGGATTTTCTTGGAACTGTGGCCTCAAGTCGGCGTGGAATTCTGCATAATTCATCGCGAATTATTAATTCCCGAGTTATTTCAGCTTCAACTGGTAGATATCCTGGAATGAAATTCACGGAACCTGTTACTGTTACGTTTAAGCTGATACAGGTAACAAAATTTACACTTGTTTTTTAATTAATTAATTAAGTTAATTTAAAAGAACTTTAGAAAAAAGAAATAATATCAAAAGAATGAAAAAAAAGCAATTCTGGAAGATTCAGATTTTAACATCGTACCAAAGGGTTTGTTAAGGTTTTTTACGCTCCAGTTGAGCTCGCAGTTTATCTATCTGCTCTTTTACTCACTCCTGCTGACACAGCTTTTTTTGTCTTTTTAATTTTATTATTTAAAACCACTTTCTTCGCATTTAGGCCACAAAAAATAATTCAAGAACAAAATCGCAAAATTAAAAAAAAAAAAAAAAAAAAAAAAAAAAAAAAAAAAAAATACATCGCTTTAGTTAAGCACAGTGTTGCCTCACAATTTTTAGCCCGGATGAGCTATTAGTTTTGAACCTCACTTTTGCATGGAATCATTTTTGTTGTCCATATCACTTTTCAAATAACTAGTCACCTAAGATAGTTACTATGAAAAAGAAAGCAATACATAATGTTTTTAATAAACCAATAAAGATTTCATGTTAATTAACAAGTTATTATGATTTGAGTCCCTTACTTCTTCTTCCGAACTCCTCAATGTCAGAATGCAAATTAATCATGTGAGTATTTAAGCCGAGGGTTGGAATGTTTTAGTTAGAGCCTCTGCTTATTTGGAACTGTGGACTGTGTAGATAATGTAAGTTATCTGAGGGTTATCATTAACCAACGGCTCACATGGACCCTTCATATTAAGCATGACATAGGAAAAGCCTGTGTTATGGCCAACAAATGTTCTGTACTCCTTGAAACTACTCTGGACTATCTTAACAAAAAGGGAAGGAATTACTTATGCGTTATATGGCCAATTGCTACGCATCTCTCGCCTGGACTTTAGCCTCAAATGCAGACCTTGCAGGAACTTCAGGTAGTATAGAATAATGTTTTGAGAATAATTGTAAATTCTCATTATATGATTAGAAATAAGCTGATCCGTAATGATTTGAAAATAGACCGTATTGTAAGCCACATTACTAAACTTAAAAAGCGTTTCTTCGAAACTGGACTTAGCTGTATGGATACAAAATTTTTAAGAAGTTCTTAGTTACGAAATCATTCCAGAAGATAATTTCATCAGACCGTTTGCTACCCACGTGCCTGAAGACCACAACTTCGTAACTTAGCTTGGAATGTTGACGTTTACTTGTATTTTTGCGTGGCCTGACTTTTGTCTCTCGTTGCTTTCCATCTCATTGGTACACAAGCAGTACAGGATACAATGGTCTCTCCACCAGTGGTGTGCCGTGGTTTTCATTAAAGGGGAACAAGTATAATAAAGTATGTATAAATGTATGTATGTTTCTCTCATTGTGACTCACTGACAATGGTAGAGCCATCAAATTTTGAATAATGTACGTCTCCACACGAATATGGGCATCTGGAGGCTCGAATTTGGAATTTATTTTATTATCTATTTCTTATTTTGTAAAACATTTATGAGTTTTCGATTAAGAAAGTCGATGATATCAAAGCGAGCAATGGCAACACTACACGGGGGGGGGGCGGAAATATCTCAAGCGCACGAGATTGTATCGGAAATTCTAAAGCTATGCTCTTTTAAATATTTTGTGATATTGCTGTTGAATTGAATTTTATGGATTTATGGAACATGATATTTAATAAATAAAGGTAACACACAAAACGTTGAAAAAAACCGCCCCTTTGGACATAATATAACATCTGTAAGCTTTCAGTTTTTTTAACAACACTGTCACTATTATTCCTTTGCATTCCTGGCCAAACCATAGAATAATGCGGATTCTAGCATAGCGTGAAACATGAGACTATGCATGTCAAGTTGTCAAATACGGCGGCAAAGTACTTGTGTCCCAATCTTCCGTTACATGTTACCTTATAAGGCATTTCTCCCGCCTTCGTAGTGTAGTAGTCAGCACACTGGGCGTGTATTCCAGAGGTCCGTGGTTCGATTCCCGGTGAGGGCGTTGCTCATTTTTCACTACTCTTGCTTCCAAAATAATGTCTCTACAGTGGCGCCCGAACTAAAAGGTTGGTGGATGATGATTCTCCACACCCAAGACTTGGCGATTGGGTCCCTTAAAAACCCCAGTCGCCCTTTAAAAGGGGGTATATAAGGTATTTCTTCCGCCTTCTTAGCATGCCTTCGTAGTGTAGTGGTCAGCACGCTGGGCGCATATTCCAGAGGTCCGTTGTTCGATTTCCGCCGATGGCGTTGCTCATTTTTCACTACTCCTGCTTCTGAAATATTTAATGTCTCTACAACCTGTTCTCAAGAATGTTCACATTGTAAATTTCATATATATAAGGTACTAACCCCAGCATTTTTCCTGAATTCATCAGAAATTTTACCTACTTATATCACAAAAGCTCTAATGCAAACTGCAACAATGAATTAATCGTGAACAAGCATGCATATCTAGTCTTTCATATTTTTAGTCATAAAGGAGCAGATTTAATTTCGGAAATATCTGCTAATAGTCTTATAAACCAAGTTTGTTTTATCAGTTATGGTAAAGCACGTAAGGGCTCTCTGCCTAAGGGAAAGGATGCCTTCCTGGGAGCACTTTCCAAGTGAAAAAGGCGTGTCTTCACACTACGCATGAGAAAAGTCACGAAAACGCCCACGCGATTTGTCCGTTCTCTGGGGTATGAAGACAGATCGAAGTACCCGAAACTTTCATATCAATATGATTATACTTTTCACAGCTGCAAGAAATTTTATCATAAAACCAACCTAAGATCATCTGTTGCCAGTATCAGATCAGATATTTAAAAAAAGTTCTTTTCTAAATTCTGTACTCTAAAAAATTTGTGATCAGCTAAATCCCAGTAATCTAATTTTTGTATTCTGCCAGTGAATTCCATCTGGAACTTTCATGTGATTTTTTTTTACCAATAAATAAACTGCGACGAAATATAGCTTACATGGTTATTGTTTGCCTTTTGACATCAGTGTTAGTGTGGTAAGAGGGGAAAAAAAATATATGCGCGAATAAAGGAATATTTGACCCACAAGGTTAATTTTTAGACTGTATTTTATGATTCCAGAAAGCAGACTTAAATTTTAGTTAAAAAGAAGAATTTTGATCTACACATTCAACCGAAAAAATGCTTAGAATTTTTAGTTTTAGTCCAGGGTCTAGGTAGTTTTATAGGATCTAACTCTCTTCTGCCACATAAACTCATCTAGATCCTACTAATGAAGCTGGCTACCTCTCGCACAGACGTGAAATAGCACAGAAGAAGAGTGAAAATAACCCTCTATTATTTTCAAATATGAACAGAAAGTCATGTACTTTGTGCTTTACAATAACACCGACAACTTTTAAGCGTTGTTACATAAATCAATTCAAGTCGAAAAAGAATAGTGCTTAACTAGCACTTTTAAGTTACGGCTAACTAGGTTGCCTAACAGGCGTGATAATTATTCGAAAGGCGTATCAGCAATTGGGCGTAACAGCAAGATCAGAAACAAAACGTGCGCTGGCTAGCAAAAACACGCTCTGAATAAATTTCAAGATTCACCTGTTTAAATACTCATTTAACATTAAATTAGAAAAAACACGCTCTGAATAAACTCCAAGATTCACCCGTTTAAATACTCACTTCACTTAACTTTAAATTAGCATTCTGGCGAGGAAATGCAAGGGAAAGTTGAGGAGTTCAGGAAAGATAACAAAAATTTGAATAATTGGTTATTTGAACTAAGGGAAACCCTACAGTTTTAGATTACGATTGCTTTTGCTACGTATTTCCTGCTGCCCTTGAAAAACGGCAAGCAAGAAAATCAAAATGCCATAGCTAAATTATAAAAAGAGTAAAGCCAAATTCAGTTTCTTACCTAGTTTATATCTGCTGTCTGGATACTGTCCGAAAATCGTCCAACTGGAGTTAGGAATTTGACAACATTGTTTTTCTGTTAAACTTTAATGTTATGAAAACTGGGCATCAAGCTGTACTGCACAACACTTGAAACAAACGATTGCATTTTACTTTTATTTGAATGCTGTCTAAATTTATTGTTATATGTTTTTGTGATCTTATGACTCTCATGTCTAAAATAAAACGCACCTCGAATAAATTGGATCTATTTTTCAGCTTTCTAGGTCAAATAAACTTTAGCTTTCTATTTATTTGTGTTTATAACTTTGTCGTTTGTTTAGGTAACATTATAAAATTACAATACAGCAAGTGTAAGAATTTAACACAGATTACCTTCTGAGTTAAAATAATACACCGAATGACGATTATTGACGGAGTGAAAGCAACAGAATCAGCTTAACAATAATAAATTTGAAGTTTATAATTGTTAAGCTAGTTTGGAAGGTTCTACATTTAAACCTTCGAAACTAGTTCTGCAAATTTATGAATATTACGCAGATCTTGTTTTTCTAACTCGTTCAATAACAGATTAATTTTTTCATCTTATTATTTTACGGCAATAGCCGTTGTTTCATTTTAATTGAATAAAAATATTCTCTCTTTGCTTTTTGTTTTATGCAGATAAAGATGTTTCTTTGTAATACAACAAAAATAAAAGGAAGTTTGCGTTATGTTTTCTAAAACTTAAAAATCTACTTTATTTTTTTAACTGAATTCCCTCTTTTGAATTGAACCGATTTTTTCTATGTTAATTCGAATAATTGGAGTTCCACTGAACAATTTTATTTACTTGGGAGGGGGAACATTGCAATTTTTTATGTGAAATAATTTCATTAGTTTCGCTAATTTCACAAAAAATCAAATATTTTTCTCGTTATAAATAGCAGGGAAGCAACTGCGTCTTAGTATCATGAAAACCGTAATTAATTACACTTTCATACACATGTGAACATACTTTTTTTTATTGTCTAATCTATTTTGTATTATTTACAGGAAGAAAATGTGACAAATCCTCAGTGTGTCTACTGGGACTTAGATACAAGGTAAGAGTTAAGTAACTTTGGAATTTCATTTTTACTTCCTTGTACGAAGTAAAAAGCAAGTATTGTAATTTTCAGGAAAACTTTTCAGGCATATTTCAACGAAAATATTCTATTTGATCGCTATCGAATGCAATTGCGGGACATCTGTACGTAAGGACAAAATAAGACTCTTTTGCCCCCAAAAAATTATAAAACTGATTTAAAATGAATTCTGAAGAGAATTTTTCGTGACGTCTGTACATACGTATGTATCTCACATAACTCAACGAGTAGCCTCAGAACGTTGAAATTTTTTATGTATGACTACTATAACATGTAGATGTGCACCTCGTATTTTGGTTGCAATCGGCCGTACCAAACGTATATAAATATATATATATCCACTCTGTTAACCGGCTCAGTGATCTCAGTTTCTTTACTCTTATATGTTTGTAAGTTGGGCATTTCTTGCTTTAAAAATGAGTGAATTATGTAGTTCTTATCTTCCGGTTAAGGTTGTTGTGCCTTTAGTAAATCTGTATGCAATATTTGTGGAGTTATCAACAATTTAAAAGTTGTTTAAGTGCAGCTAAGCCTAATTATTTTTGTGATGGTGGACATGTTTGTTGACATTTTACACTTGGCAAAATAGCGGATTTGTTGCCAATGTAGGTAAACTAAGCTTCGCAACAACAAAGATAACTCCTTCTTTTATTATTGCGAATTAAATCCTGTTTAATCCGTCTGGAATTTATTCGAGGAAATAAGTGTTTAAGATTTACTTCGGAATTTTTAATATAGATATTTTGAGTTTTTATGTATTTTTGCCTTGTTGGGAAGTGAGAACTGAATTAATTGAATGAGAAATACTGAATCGTTTTTGAAAAACTGTTTCTTTTTTTGTTTTGTTTGCTTAATTTCTTTTATATATCCTTTTAGATTTATTATAGTATTTGAATAGAACATGTGGCAACGATTATATAATTCTTCAAATGATATAAATTTATATGCATTCTGAGTTATAATATGTAAGAAATGTAACGCTGTTAAGTGAAGCTAGCGCTAGAGTGTCGCTATGGTAAACAAATATAGTGAATTTTAAAGAGTGCATTTATTCTATTTTGGTTTATGAGCTATCGACGAAGTAGATTTAATTCAATCCAATAAGTTTAAATGAAATGCAAGAAAAAATGCATATAATTTAATATTCCATACAATGAAGTCGTATGGTGTACACATCAGATTTTTTTTAACTTCTTTGAATTATGTATCATATTATTACAGATTATGGTCCCAAGAAGGCTGTCGACTTAGGAAAGCAAACAAGACCCATGCTGTGTGTGAATGTGACCATCTCACAAATTTTGCCCTTTTGATGGAATTAAAACCTGATGAAGTAAGTTTCTTATAAATTGCATATATTCAAACCGAGCACATTTCATCTCAATTACGTGTGTAAAAGCAAAAAGAGAAAATATTGGTATTTCATGATGACATCAAAAATATAGTGTAAGCATATCAACCAGAAAAGGTTAACAGCATAACAGAAAACAGAAAAGGTTAACATTGTAAGGAAAAACAGGTTTTGGTTAAGCAACATAAAAAAATTTAATAGCGAAAGAATCGTAAAATTAAATAAAGTCTACATATAATAAAATTTCATGACTATATTGGAAAGCAAACTATACAAATATTGTCTTAGTTGTTATATTTTATTTTTATTCATCCTTTTGGTTTGTATAAATGTTATTTGTACTCAGAAATTACAGTGAAGTACATTTCAGATTCCTTCAAAATTAATTTTTCGCGTATAAAATTTGCCTTCCAATCTCTACGCAATATCCAATTATAATTAAATCAATATCCAATTATATATTCTGACAACATTTTAAAAGAGTATTTCTGGTGAGTAAAACTGATGCACGAAAGTATGCGAATAAGAATTTTTTGTTTTACTCACTATGGTTAAAATTTGGCTTGGGAAAGTAGAATTTCAAATCCTTCAGTTTCTCAGATTGGGGATACTGCTCAAATTCTACAAACCTAGGAGATTACCAAGTCAATTTCATAGATGCCAGCGACTTGAACACTTTGTCAAGATACCTCAAATATGGGTAAACACATTTAACTTTTTTGGGCCCACCAGCGGCCGAGCGGTAAAGACGCTGAACACTGGTAGTTCGGTCTGAGGTTCGAATCCCGCAAAACGGGCTGGCTGCATGGGCGTTTTCGTGGTTTTCCCCATGTGTAACGTGTATACGAGCCAGTTTCCCTTAGAAAGTCCTCCACGAAAGGCATCCCTCCCTTTAGGCAGATAGCCCTCGTGTGCTTTGCCATAATTAAATACACACACATTTAACTTTTATTTGTGAACTGAAGAAAGATACGTCTACCTACTACCGCTAACAGAAATAACCCCACCGAAAAACTGCCGCAGACAGTAAGAACTCCTAGAAATCCTCCAATGATTAGACGTTCACGAACGCCGAAGCAAATATTTGAGGAAAAAAAGAAAAAAAGAATTTCTTTGGCTTGCAACTTCTTTCCGTGAAGAACACAGGAACCATCCCTTGACGAACTTCCTTCTGAGAAAGACATCTTCAAGCAGATGATGGATTCAAGTGCCCTATCCTTCTTCAAAGTAAAGACGAAAACAGCTGATCAATATCGAAAAGCTACCAAGGGCTATCATAAAATAGTTTTGACGCTAAGAACTATTGATTTAAATAGTAAAACTGAAATCAAAATGTAATTTAGGTTTCTTCCAAGAAAGATTAATTTAAGATACTCTTTGCTGGGTCCGCAATATGATGTAGTGCCTTACCATTGGCCACTGGTTACGCAGATGGTCGCCCCACCCAGGAAACATGGGCCTTCCACTATCAACTGCTGTAAGAACTTTTCACAGTGGACTACTTAATTTTGGTTACTATATGTGTGGTTTTCCTAATAGAGATCATCTGAGGTGCTAGTAATTACGCATTAAATGGTTGTACTGTAAAGATGTTTTCTTTGGAAGTTGTAAAGAACCTACGATGTCAGACGGGGATAAAAGTTCTTTTCGGGCAGGTGCTTTAAGAGGTTATGAAATTTCTCGTGCAGTTGGTATGTTTTCCTCATTTTCTCGTTCAAATGAGTGACACAGGTGTCTGTTAAAAACGTGCAAGCAACCATTTTAATGCAAGACAGACGATTTTCGAAAAGACAGAAACCTTCTCGAGGGTGCCCCACAGACTTATGAAGATGATTTTCTAAAGTTAATAAAAAAACCTTGAAAAAAAATTTCAGTGTCTTTATACTAGGGCTTCTATTTAGGAAATATTTTTTAGTTTACTACAATTAATAAAGCAAATGAAAATCATACTCATTTTAGCTGTAGCTCGGCATGAAAGTTCCCGCATCTTTATGAAGGTCATCTTTTACAAGTTAATCTTCTGAATTATATGGATGCCACCTTTATGCAAGGCATCCTTATGAAAGTTTGTCTTTTCGAACGATGGCCGACTTGTGTAAAGGGGCTGTTACTTTTATGACGGAGCACTCTTATGAAGTTGCTTCAGTTATTTCATTGTTTGGCGAAGACAGAGCCAAATAATAATGATAATAATAATAATAATTTTCATTTAGAAATAAGATCAGTTTTTACTAAGAACAGAAAAGAATATGGGACTTTTAAGAAGTTATTTTATGTATGTGTGTTTGTGAGATAATTTGTATTTTTCCATGTGTTGTATGGTTCTCCTGTGTGCAAATTAGCTTTTTAAATCCTGCTTTGAGTAAAAAACGAGTTGGCGCTTCGTCTGTGAAATTAGAACAGAAATCTAACAATGTTTTAAATAAACTTTTTATTAAAAGCTTGAACAAATTGCACAACTTGTGCATAGATTAAAGCTCCGTCATTTGTTGGTATTTGATAACAGAAGGTCGAATTCACAAATTAAAGCAATTCGTAGCAGAAGACTAAAATATAAATGACCTAACAAAGAGTTCTTTAAATTCTAATTGCTCAATTTAATTACAGCTAGCAAAATGGCTAATGCCGACTAACTATCATAGCAAACCTCGGCGAAAGAAATGTTCAGCTGCTACCATCGGGGCCAAAAGTTGTATTTCTAAAATCTTCAAGAATTTCTCCCCACACTTAACTCATTTGCATCCTGGTGAAAAGTAACAAAAAGGAGTAGTATACTAACCATAAGAAAATGGGTTTGTTAACTAAACCATAAGAAAATGTGTTTGTTAACATAAACTGTACTAAGTAACAGTTTCCAGAGTATCACGTACACCGAATAAATTAATATGAGAAAGAACATAGCCAGGAAGTCTATTCTGGCAATAAGACTAAAGAGAAAAATAGTTAAACAAAACGCTCTCTAATAAATAGGCAATCATATGAGCTTCCCAAGAGATTTCATATATGATTTCATATATTCATTCATCATATGAGCTTCCCCTGCAGTCGTTGTAAATGCGTTATGCCATCGGCGCCTGTAAAACCACCTACAGCTCAGACACGAGCTATAAACAGGTAGTTTGTTTCTAAATCCTGTAGTTTCTTAATACTAGGGATGTATCTTATCACCAAATTACGTCACAATATATAGTATTTAGCCCAGGAGACAATTCCATCTTTTGTAATTTTAATGAACTAGTTTTGAGTGGACAACAGATGATTCAGTTCCTATCATTATGTTGAAATTCAGCAATCTGTGCAAAATTTGTTACATCCACTTTATTAATAGCAGCATAATATTTTCTAGTCCAGAACATACTGTATGTCGATGCTGGATTGGGCAATATAAGTCATATGCCTAAGCAATCTGGGGGATGCCGAATCTGATTTTTTTCTGAACGAAAATATTAGAGGGCGATAATCTGTATATATTATAAAAACTTGTCCCTCAAGATCATGTTGAAAATTCCTTAGAACTCAGTAAATAGTGAGTAATTCTTCATCGTACGTGCTGTACTTATCTTCAGTTGAAGTCAATTTTTGGGAGAGAAAAGCCAGTGATTGAAGGCCATTATCGTTTCACGAGAGCAAAACGGCTCGAATAGCCACATCTGAGGCAGCGAACATCAATGACAAACACTCACCAGGGGCATGGTAACCAAGTGTCACTGAATTTGTGAGATCAGTTTTACATTTTTAAAAGAACGCAGTTGTTTCCGCTGTCCAAGGAGCGAGACGTTTGTCATCATTCTTAGAGTCTTTTAAAAGAGAATGAAGTGGGGGCTTGGGTAGTAGCTGCCATAGGCAAAAAAAATAGATTTCTTCTCCCCCGTGCAGCCTTCATTCTCAGTGAAAACTAGGACACTCCCACTTACCCCCCGTACGAAAAGTTCTCGTGCAGTTATGACACTACTTTATACAGATGTATTTTATTTTCACATTTTAATTTCTGCAGATTCCAGTAGCATTGTTCAGATACAGCAATGGGGTGGGTGACCACGACCTCTATTCGTTGTACTATGTAGCTCCTGTTACTTAAACCTATGATTTGTATATAGATTCATGGAATGCCTTCTGCAACTAATTATATACAATCTTATATCTTCATTTATTATTTATTCCACTGTAATGTATTTTGTTGACAGGATGAATTCAATCCAAATCGCGTGATACATGCGATCATGAACTCTGATTTGATATTCTCTCATCAGTATTGTTATCCAAGTTAATCTGCATAGCGATTAGGACTGTTATAAGACTGTTTTATGTATCAATTACTCACCCTCCATCCATCCTAGCTGTCCTACTGGACTCATTGACTAAGTAATCACTCTACTTCAAGCTCCCACTGAGGCAAACACATCAAGACAGCCGGAAAACAACATGCACTTCGCATGTTAATCGCGGCGACTAGCGGGACCTGGAACTGGTTTTAGATCATCTAGCAGTCTCGCACTGTAGTTACGTTCTAGCGCCAGCTTTGCGAAAATTTATTTCGGCTTCAACCATTTTGCTTGCCGACTTTATAAGCATACCCTTAACTCTTTCGCATCGAAGTCGCCCCAAACGCCCGAGCATTTAGACATCGGCTGGACGCCCGAAACGTCTGAATAATTTCCTACCCAGTGCTTTCTCCCATCACGTTACTGCATTACTAATTGCTTTCAGGTGTTGTTAAATCACATGTCAATCATTCTTTTGAAGCTACTTTAGTAGCTTTCTTGTTTCCTTTGTTCCTTCCTTTTCTTTGTTTACTGTCAGTGTTTAGCTTTTGATGCCCGAAGTTGCAATCCCGTCCCAAGGGGGAACTTCCCGCAGTGTGGAAGCGTCGAAGAAAGAAGTTCTCGCTATACTTAAGTAAAGCTATTGTTAGCGCTGTAGTATTCAACTTGTCATGGGGGAAAGAAAAGCATTCCAGGAGAAATTCTTAGATACGGGCGTTTTCGATGTTTGGGGAATTGAGATTTTGCCCTCTCTCGATGCGAAAGAGTTAATTCCTTGAGCCAGCTAAAGTAGACTATTTTGTGTATAATCTCAGACTACATTACTTGAGTTTAGGCATTAAGTTTTACATTATTTTAAATACCCTCAATTGGTGGTGCTTCGTCTGTAGTACTAGCAGTGCCTTCTGTTAATTTCAAGAGTTCAATGGAAAGGTTATTTTAATCATCTTAAGATTTTGTCACCTTAATTCAGACAAGAGCGATAACTCGCTTGTCAGTTTTGTAGGGCCTAACGGACACTGACTTAAACTTCTAGACATAGCAGAACGCTACAATTCCATGAATGTAATCTTATTTTCTGGGTAACGTTATGGATGAAAATATTAGTGTAATTAAAAATATATTAAAATTTTCCTTTGCCTCTTTTTTCATATGCATTAAACAAAATAAATGTTAATTCGTTTGTTTTATGTAAAATATACCTTGATTGAAAGGTAATTTATTAACAGTATGACTATAGCATAAAGTTTTATAAAGACAAAAGTTATATATGTGTATATTATTTTGTTTACAGGTTTCTACAGAAAACAGTCTTTTTTCAAAAGTGTTTATTCTTACAAGCTGTGTTTTGGCTATTATATTTTTTCTTGCGACGCTGCTTTTACTTCTGGCTTTCAGGTAATATGATTTATCATATAATGGTATATTTATGTTTAAGATTAGAATTTGATTAGAATTTTCTTTCTAAAAGGCTGCTTATGAGTTAAAAAAAAAAAAAAACACCACGTAGCTATTTTTAAAATGTCTTGTAATTCACTCAAATAAAATATTTTTTCGTAATTGTAGACCAATACATATGTTTACGTTTCCGTTTACTTCCAGTAAAATCAAACAACAAGAATTATAAACGAAGGGGTAAAACGGAAATCATACCACTCCTTAAGTCATACCTTTCAAATATTAGGCATTAATGTCACGCCATTTGCGCCTCTTCCGGAAAAATGAGTTACCCCCAGTCAACCATATCGTTTCACACATCGTGTTCGTCTCACTATAATATTTGTGAGAAAGATCACGAAGAGAATATGATTCGGTACCTAAAATTTAAAGGATGGGTACACGACTTATGTGCTGGAGTTGACATGAAAATGAAAAAATACCTTTGTGATCATTGTCATAATTAACTTTATAAATAAATTAATTGAGGAAAAGAAAGTTTTTATTATAATTGTTCAATTTTAAACGCAGTACGACTTAAGATGTAGTTGGTACGACTTAGAAAACAGATTGTCTAAAGTCGTATCAAGTTCGTGTTCTTAAATTTTATTAATTTTATCTTGGATTAGATTAGATTGTATGGAATTTTATTGTAATATTATCAACGGTGACACAAGATATTATTACGACACATAATTTTTGTTTTTTTCGCAAGTCCTATGATTTATACCTATTTTGTCTTAGGGGGTATGACTTACCATGTAATCACATATAAAATGCAAAATTTTCATTAATTTATTTCAGAAGTTTCGTTATATTCAAAAGTCTGTAATTATTTTTTAAACGATATAAATTTAGACTTGCGGCTCTCCGAATGTTCATAAAATCTATCATGTGGCTCCTATCATCTTGAAGTTTGGCCACCCCTGTTACATGCTGTCAATCATTATGATTATTATTTTCTGGGTATTTTTGATTCATACAACACTTCTTATTTTTGTATTTTAAGTTTTAGTTACTGAAGACTTAAAGTATTAATTCTTCTGTCAAAAGGCTATTTCATATTAATTATTGTTACGATAAGCGTTATTTTGGTTTCTGTTACTTGGTAACATTTTTAAAATTAATGTTCTATTATCGATTACTGTGTGTAATTGTTATAATACATGCTAAATGAATTCGATTAACTTAATAAATAAATAAATAAAATTCATTATTAAACCATCACTAATTCTGCAAGTTTATTTTCAAGCCAAATGATCCCATCCCATGTAATCCCATCCTTGCTAGGAAGGGAATCAACAATGTCTAGGGGCATTAATTGTTGTTGACTGATGCTCACTTGTCTGACCTATAGTCAGCATAAACCCATGAAATTCCTTGTGGCAAGGAGCGCGAGATTACGCTTGTCGTTGGCAACAGCTTTGAGCACCTCACAGATGACAGTGTGATTTAGCTCAGTTCCGCCCCTAATTATGATGAAGAACATTCCCGGGGAGGATGGTCCAAGGGTCTCCCATCCTTGTTCATTCCTGTTCCCCACTCCCGCATATTTAGAGTGCCCCCATTCCACATGGATACTATACATCTCGAACCCGGGCCCTTCGGCACGGCAGTCAGCGACCTAACCACTATACCGGTGGCTAGGGGCATTACTAATCCTTTTACTCCTAGCAGGGAATAATATATATAATATATATATATATATATATTATACAACTTCTTTAATGTTGTGTTCGAATTTGCTTTCCTTTGACGTTTTGATGTCCGTAACATAGTGGTAAAGCATTCTGTCTAAATATTTCCAAGTACCTCCCGTTTGCATCAAGATATTTTTTTTCAGTGCCAGATTTATGAAATGGAGCGGGAGAGGGAACTTTCTTCTTATAACACAGGGCATTTTCCCTTTCTTTTCAAAATTAATTAATGACTTAGGAGTTCCTTAGAAAAGTGGATCCCCTGGTGATTGCTATTTACATGATTCTGTAACCCTGCCTCTGTTCTTTACAGGCAAAAAAATCAAGGCAATTTGTATTGTTTTGTTAATTTTGAAGTTTAAGTATGTATATCTAGTCCAACTACTGGGCAACTAAAGGCTTCTTAAGGTTTTTGACGATTATGTGGCAGCAGATTTACGCCACTGTTTATGCATAATTAATCATTTGTGATCTGAAGTTTTCCGTGAAACTTAAGCTTGTGCAACGGTTTTTATTTGTCATCTTATGCCCATAGAACTTACCTGTACGAAATACGTATTTGTGCAGTGATTATAATTCTCAGTAAATTAAGCCTAATGTAGTTTAGAACTGAAACTTGAGTTAAAAGTTCTTTAATATATGTGATTTCTTTTTATTTTATAGGGGTTTTCCAACAGATTATTCAACAATTCATAAGCACCTATGTTCTTGCTTAATCCTTGCTGAAATTGTGTTCCTCTGTGGAGCTGATCAAGTGGATACAGCATGTGCTATTCTAGCAGGAGCACTGCATTTTCTTCTCCAAGCTGTGTTTGTGTGGCTCTTTTTATCAGCATTTCAGTTATATCTCTTGCTAACAGAGCCAACTCACAGTAATCGCATATGTTGCTACTCACTTGTTGCGTATGGCATGCCAGCTCTTATAGTAGGTGTGTCTGCCGTAGTTGATCCCAAAAGTTATGGGACACCTAACTATTGTTTCATAAGATTTGATAACTACTATATCTTCAGTTTCGTAGGACCAGCTATTTCATGTATATTGGTGAGTTACAACTTTATTCTTTCTATTTTGCAATTAATTTTGTAGCTCTGTAATTAAAATTTTAATTCTAATTACAGGGTGCTCTAATGTTTCTGATGTTAACTATTTGTAAAACACATTCGTCCTCTGTTGCAAAGGATAAAGAACTAGCAAAAATAAATACTATCAGGTATGATTTTTTTATATTTTACACATAATTATTTTTAATCTCATAATAATATGCACAAATAGCTAATATTCAGCAGTTGACAAATTATATTTATAAATTTGCAGAATTCAGAATCGAGAAACCTGGTTCATAGTTTTGAGCAGTGGAAGTAGTTGGGCTTTTCTCCTTTGGTATATGAAACAAAGAATAGCAGTTCTATCATACTTATTTGCCACTCTGAATTGCTTACAAGGGCTAGCTGTTTTTATATTTTTTGGTCTAAACAATAGCGAGGTAATTTATCATCAAATTAGATTTTAATTTTCCTTTTCTTGTTATTTTTGTATTAAATTGATGATGACTTTTTCAGGTGCAACAAGCCTATCGTAAGTGGAAAATGAGATCCTGTGCTAAATCAAAAAATACAAGAAATCAGTTTCCATTGCAAACTACATGTAGTCCACACAGTATTGAAGCTCCATATCTGCAACCGTCTACCACAGTTTCATCACTGTCTACAGGTAACTAATCTAGTACTTGAGCATATTACACTAACTTTCTGGTTTCCCTACGTATACAGGTAATTTTTCTGCCAACTTGTTTTCGCGTTTTCTCTTCAGAATATACAATGTATATTATATATTCCGAACTCTTAATATCTAACGTTAAATTATCATTATCACATGCATACTTGTATTTCATAAAGTATACATAATCTAACTTTATTTACCTAAGTCTATCAAAGAGGAGAAGATTATGCAAAAGAAAACTATATTGATATGCTAAAATTATACATTAACTAATTCTATTTGTCTATTTGTCTTCCATATCTCCATTTTTTAATGAATGCTTCACTTTATCTTTTTGAATCAATAAATGCATTTGTGGCCGTTGCATCGATTTATTCAAAACACTCAATTTTCCAAAAATTTCCACCAAATAGGTAAGTTTAATAATAAAATTATCATATCTAAACGTATTTGCATCCTCATTATGATTTTCTTCGAGAAAAATTGCAATTTCTTCTTTGAGTTCAAGTACCCTTTGAATCACTTTTGCACGAGATAGCCAGCGCACTTCATAATAATACAAAAGTGAGGTGTTAGGAGCTTCCATATCTTCACACAGCTTTTGCAAATAACCTAACTTTTAATGGACTGTTTTTTTGTGTAGTTTACAACTTTCGTTACTTTTGTAAAAACGTAGTTAAGTTCCTCACTCATATTTTTTGAATATGAGAGCTGCTTTGTGGAGCATGCAGTGCGTCCAGAGAACATCGGGTGTTTTCCTTTTAATTAGTGCTTGAAGGCCAGTTTTGTGTCCTGACATTGACTGTGCACCGTCTGTACAAAGCCCAATGCAATTATTCCACAATATGCCGTTCTCATCAAAAAAATTGTCAATTATATTAAAAATTTCACTGGATGCGGCTTTGCCAGGAATGGGTTTGCAAAATAATATATCTTCAATTATATTATTCTCTTCAACATATTGAACATATGCAATTAAATGTGCGTCTTTAGCTACACCGGTTGCTTCATCTTCTTGTAAGGCGAATTTTGAAGTGCGCATCTGAGAAACTAATTGATCACAAAGATCGTCAGATATATCATCGATTCTTCTGCCAACAGTGTTATCAGCAAGCGGTATTTGTCGCAGCTGTTTTACATATGATGCGCCAAACATTGTTTTGACCATATCAGTAGCTTTGATGGCAAAACTAATGTTTCTCCTATTGTGTGTGGTTTTTTACACTTCGCGATTCTGTTAGATACTAAGTACGATGCTAGTAACGCATTTGATGGAATATGAACTGTTTTTTTTGGACGTTTGCTTTTGTCTAGCATCCAGTTTTCTTTGAAAAAATTCTTGGGACTTGCCAACGTATTGAGAATGCATAGTTTCAATGTGGCGTTTTAATTTTCCGGGTCTCATACTATCAGCAGCCAAAACTTTCGAACAAAACAAACGCATTGGTTTTTCCACATTATCAGTAATAACACTTGTAAATCCGAACGATAAATGAGACGAATCGTATTTTCTTGTCTTGGGAGTTCTTCCTTCCTGATTCCTGCTACCTGTGCCAACATCAGATTTTTCATTATTTGAAGATTTTCTCTTATAACCAGTCAAGAACTTATCAATTTCTCTAAAAATATTAGGATAATTAATTTATTGTTCTTAAAAAAATAAACTTAATTAAATTACTATTGTGATTAGTGAATAATTAGGTACCTCAAAATTAAATAAGAAACACAATCTAACACTGCTGAGCTAAACTGAAGTCGATATTGTCTCAATTTTTAGAGAGTTACTGGTCGGCCAAGTAGCATAGTAGTTAATATGTACCTATATGTTACGTATTGTATTAGCTGCACGTGCACCAATCCTGGCTAATATTCGCGCCTCCCCTTAGATTAGTCCTTGCCTCCCAGTTTGGAAAACGCTGCAGTAAAGTAAAATACTTTTTCTAGTAACCCAATAATATTTAGTAATTATCTACTGTCTCGTTTATTTGAAGAATTTGGTGACACAATATTTCTGTTAATTGCAGAATTTACAGACTCTTCTAAATCTGGCGTATTGATATTTTTCTAATATTCATTCTTAGTAAGATTTTCAACTTTGTTTCTTTCACCAAAGTAATATTGTTTTCGACACGAAATCTCTTTTATTTGTTACTGTTGCAGGGTAGCATTACAGTTAAACAATGAAAATGTCTTTTCTTTATAACATGCAGTATTTCATGGAAATCACGGCAAAGGTTTTATTCTTATCTCCTCTTAAGACTCACATTCACCTTGCTTAGACGAGAAGCAAAATATCAATTTTGGACAGATCACTTTTATGTAAAATTATGTCTTGGTAAAAGAGTGACCCATATGAGTGTTTTTACCGAGCTACTGTTATGCGCTTAGTTTTCAACTACTGTTCCAAATGGAACCCAGTCACTCCAGATGTTTAGTTAGCAGAATCGAAGCAAGTTTTTTTTCTCTTGTAAACAAAAAATAGCTTTAAAACTTACAGCGACAATAAAAAACCACTGCATTTCACTTGTTAAGTGTTCTTCACTATTTCTGTTAGAGAAGCCATGTAGCTTCTGAAAAATAACGCTTCTTTACTGTTTCAAATGCTATGTTAAGTTTTTTTATCAGGGATTATGAGCGACAATTCACATGGGTATTCCAAAAATTTACGACATTGAAATATGTCCATAAAACGTCAAGAGGGAATATTTTATAATGAGATTTGGTAACTTAATGAGTTTGCACACGCATAGTCAGGACTCGGGCCAAAGGGTTGCAAACGATCTTAGATATTTTCTGCAGATGCTACTGAGACTACAAGCAAGGTTATGTGCCATAAATAAAATATATAAATTATGACGTTGTTCTGTATAGATTACAGCATACAACACCAAAAAAAATTATTGTTTTAAATTCGTTTTAATTCGTTAACTATCTTAAAAATCTGTGATATTTCAGTTATTTTTTTTTCTTTTTAAATATTTTTTTTTTTTCCTTTTCAAGAAAACAAATGTGATTAGAAATTCATAAGATATTTCTTAATTTTGCAATTGGAAAATATGAAATCTATTAAAAATTTGCTGAACTAATTCATTTAAAGGGCTTATCAGCTTTGGTATAATTAAATGTTACTCTAGAGTAGGGGGTTTCTCGCCCGAGGGCCACATATCTGTCAAAAAGTAGTGTAGTCAGAAAATTTACATGAAAAAGGGAGGTTTGTTTTGCAAGACTACAATTGATTCTAAGCGAAGAGAAGTGTTACACATTTGCATATACATTGGTTCCAAAAAGTCAAATGGAAATAGAATTAAAATCTTTTGCAACATTTTTAACTATGAAAAAAAGTACAAAGATGATTGTATAGAACGATGTTACAAAATGCATTTGCAATTAAAAAAAACTTAATATTAATGGCGGGAGATGGTAGTTACTTTAGTTTTAATGTGAAATTTGACATTGTTTTTGCTTGATTAAATACTCAATATCCGGTTTAATCTGCGTTGTTGTAATTCGTGAAGTTTCTTCCAAATATCTGTCAGCCGTGTTCTTGTTCTCAATTTAAGGATCTTCTTTTTACTAAAATGCTGTTCACATATGTAGGTACTGCCAAAGTTAGAAGACATGAAGAGTGCATGTTTACGAATTCCTGGATACTTGTCTTCGGTCACGTACTTCGAATAAAAATCAATTAATGTAGGATTTTCAGGAAACTTGCATTTTACTGCAGAGTCATACTGTAAATCTAAAAATTCTAATTGAAGTTCAGGTGGAACACTTCCAACGTCTACTGAAAACGGCGAGGAGAACATTTTCACGAAAATCGGAAAATCTGCTTTTGATTTCCTTTTTCAAATTTGAAATGCATTGTGCATAATTATTTGAATTCCATGTAGTAGATTTCTTCACACGCTCCATCAATTTTGGAAAAGGCGAGTGGAATTCTTATTTAGCAACTGACTTTCCCACAGGATTAATTCAAATTCAAATGTGGGGCCACTAAAATGCCTTCAGCGGGCCACTGGTTGAAGCCCCCTATTTTAGAACATGATTTGCGAGACCATTACAACTGTCCCTTGATATTCAGCACATTGTCAATATTAACACTAGCACTAATAACTGAACACTTGAGCTGAAACTTGCAGCAGAACTTTATTAACTATATGGAGAATTTGTTAATCCAGTGAATATTAAAATTATAATCCAGTCTGTTAGATATAACATTTAGGTGGAAAAAAGGGAAAACATCCACGTCTGCGAAAGAGCAGCAAAATGTAACTTTCTTTCTCAAATTAAACAAGAAACAAGAATTTTGAGTAATTGAATAAGGTAATATTTACTGTCAGATGTTAAATTGAACATCGTTGTTTGAACGGTCAGTTTTAACTACGGCAAAAGCAGAACGGAACATTTCAGAATCTGCATTTCAACTATAGAACATTGCAGAAGAGGAATTATAGTATGTAGATGCATGCAATCTTTTGAAACCGTGATCGTAAGGTTATTTATTATCTAGTAGGATAGTACAATCATGCTGCTACTTTAAAATGGATTTTGGAAATTGTCAGCACAAAAATATGAACTGCAATCTAATTCCAACTTTTGCCAAACCAAAATGCTAAACATTCAGTTGTGAAGGTGTTGCTCTTGACTTGTCCTGAGATACTCAGAAACCTTGCCTAGCAAGAAAGATAAAATTTGAAAACATATTGCTTTGAAACAAAGGAAATTAGTAATAAAAATTGAATGTAGGAAAATTGGGCGTTAGGTAATAAAATGTCATTTGATTCTACGTCATATAGAGTTTTAAAAAAATGCTTTAAAAGCTAAAAATAATTCAACAAAGAATTTTCCTTTTAAAAATTTTTATTATGAAAGAAAAGTAAGTACTCAATGATTTTTGTGACTCGAAAAAAGTATTTAGTTCTAGAAAATGACTAGCTAAATGAATGGTTCAAAGAAACCATGTTTTACAGTTTTAGTTTAATTGAATTAAA